TTTGTAAACTTAATTTATATATCAAATCTTACAGGTAAAGGAATTTGTTATTCCTGTTTTACTAAATTCATTTTTTTCTACACTGTTTTATCTGCTTTTTCCCCTAGTGAGTAAAAAGATATTCTTAAATTTTTATGAAAAATTTAATAGAAGAAAACAAATGGGATTTTGTGAAATGTAATAGAAAAACCTCAAGAAGGTAATGCAAATTTTGAAAGGGTTTTTTTCTAGCCATGTTACAGAATCCAAACCAAACTATTCAAACCTGCAAACTCTAAGTGATAATTAAATTTTACCAGAATATTGTTTTCACATTACATTTAAGTATTTCTTGAAGATAACTTTCCTGCCCTGACAAAAATTATCTATGTGACAGTGGGACATGCTGCTTGTGATTTGGTCCTGCAGTTGCAGCCGTATGTGCACTTCTTGGGACACAAAACTTTTCTTGCTAATTCCCAGTAAGCCCACATCCCTGAAGACTTAGATGATTGCACAGTTGATGCTGTGAACTATGCATATCTGTCCACATTCTCTAATGCATCCTGTTGTTATCTTACTTTTCATATGAGTTCTCTAGGGGAAAACCCTTTATTTTATTTCTGTACATAAAAAGAAGCCCCAAAACATACAGCAAGTGCATTTGGGTGCAGTTAGGAATTCCAGGTGGTACCACAGCCTAAAACACCCACTTGGATGCCAGTTTAAAAAAAGAAGAGGGGGAAGGGGGATAAAGCATAAAAGCAGCTGGTTTTCAGCATTGTAAAAGACTTATTTTGCTCCTTATCTTAGTTATCAATGAGCATGTTTAGTTGATATGGTTTTGCTTTTGTTCCCAGCCTGTTTGCTTTTTTATTCTCATGCCCCAGAGCATTTCAGTTGTAGTCACTGCATGACGTCGCTTAAATCATAGTTGGAATGAATTCACAAAGTGAACAGTAAGCCAGTCTTCTCCAAAATTCATGGGAGGAGACTGCATTCACAATTATTAGCATAGATTGGTAAATGGATACTGACCAGTGTAAAATTAAATTCACCTTAGCTTAGCTCTTTGATTTGGTTGGTTTGGTTTGGTTTAGTTTGGTTTATCAGGTTAGTTGTTTGTTAGTGTTGATTGCAAACATGTTATTCATGCTTCTATTCCCAACTATCCAGCCTTGAGTTTTGATGAGTGAAGTGGTTTGGAAAGAATCCAGATCAGTTCATGCAGAGGCTATGCAGTTTAGTAGAGAACTACTTACAAAGTCTGAGCATGGATTTTATATGCACTTTTACCTAAATAAAGACTGTGTATGTATATATGTGTGCACATGTGTGTAGATGCATATATACAATTACATCAATCTAAAATTTTCAGCAATTTACTGTCTTGCATAAATCTTTATATTGGTTCACATTATCATACATGTTTTATAAAATATTCGATGTTTCTTTGTCCTTCAGGAAAACACATTTTAGTTTACTTTCTGAGTAATGGTTGGCAAAGCATACACAGTTCTCTACTGTTTTGTAGTAGAGTATCTAAAACATAAAATATTTTTAAATTATTTCATGCATTCAATTTGTAACTGTTTTTAGTAAGTAATAGTTAAAATAATTTACCTGCAGTTTTATCTAGTCAGACTAGTCCGATCGTACTCTAAACTGATCCTGAGATAGATGAAATTGAAGTGTTTACTCTGTTCTGCTTCTCTCTTAAGAGGAATTTAAGCTTGGTCTGTTCTCCTTTTGCATATGCTTTAATTCTAACGATTCTAAGCATTACAAGTAGTTTAAGCAATACTGTAACTATATATAAATGCCATTTAAAGCAGCTCACTACAATACAATGATGTCTTTGAAATAGTGTATAAAGTGTTTTCAATTTTCAGTATTGTGCAATGCAGTATGTCATGTTGCAGAAATTGGTAACTGTTGGTGTTTTATGGTGACCCTGGTTGAGCTATGATGGCATGATCTACATCTCATTTTGGTCCTGGTGAGGGACACTCAGCATGCACCTCCTAACAGGCATGAAGCTGACCTCCCTGGGCGTGCTCCATGCAGGCAAGGTGGATGGCTGCTTGGGTTTCATGTGAGGCATCAGTTCAGATCTGCAGTTAGTGCCCTTTTGGGCAAAAATGCAAAAGGTCCTGCCACCTTGCTGTATGAAGAGGACATTGTGCAGAGAGTGAGGTGGTACCATATGTGCTATTGTCAAGCTCGTAAGCCTTTCCCAGGTGCAAGGCACGCTTCCAAAGAGATAATTGTTTTCTTTCCACTGATTTATTCTGGTGGGGCATGTGCTGCAGAAGTGTTACTGTGTGGTATGTGCATAAGTACCTAACTCAAACTGAGCATGGACCGTTCTTCACAGTAAGGTGCAGGCACAGCTCAGGAGGAATGATGCAGACCCAGTGCGTGGTGTTCCTCTTCCTGGGCCATATGGCCTCAGCACCAGCTCCTCGCATAGCTCAACACAGCCTGGAGTTTGAGTTGGACAAATCTACTGGGTCCCAGAGTCAAGGCAGGGGTCACCAAGATGTGACAAGGCCTCCCCAGATGTCCCAGGACATGTGGCAGAAATCCACCTTTGAGAAGGGCTCTCCTTCTTCCCACTTGGTACTAATCATAGAGAACAATGCTGGCTGCTTTGCAGAATATTAGTACTGTTGTACAAAATCTGGGCCTCTGCTTATGGTCCACTGAGTCAGACTTGTTTACTTCATTGAAGTATTGAAGAATCTGTCTCTGACTGGCAGTCAACAGCTCCAGGCTTGATAGAATTTCAGACTGTAGATTATGCTGAAAACATGAGGCTTCTATCACACTTTGAATGATGTATTCACCCTTACTCCCCTTTGGTCTGGTATTCAGGGCTGATGTTAAGATAGATAATTAATTCCTCCCATCCCGAACCTTGTCTTTAAGAACTTTCTTTAACATCTGCCATAATCTTCTGCATGCACTCCTGAAAGGTTAAGCAATGAAAGAGCCATTAAATTAACTTTAGCCATTGCTTTTTTTTCAGTAGGATGAAATAAAACTTCAGTATATCAAATGGTTTCTAGTTTATTTTATTTTGTAAAAGAAAGGAAATGTGGGAAGAAGAGGCTGGTTTTCTAGTTGCGTGATAGTGAGTGAGAAGGCCTGTCTTCTGGTCCTGAAGCTTACCTCTGTGTTAGCAAGAAGTAGAACACATGGACTGATCAGTGGAGTGAAACAGGCTATTGCCAAGGATGTCTACACTATGCAATTGGGAAGATGGTGGGGAGAGGTTTAGCTGTACTTAGCTAATGAACCATTTCCCTCAGAAATACTTTGCTGTTGCCTGTAAAGCCTTTTCTGATAATTAAGCAGTGTCAAACTGTTATGCTGTGTGTTGCGATGTCTATAAATGCTGTCACTGGTGAGTCACTCCTGGCTGGGACTCTGATCACACTCCTGTTAAGCAGTCTGCCCAGTTCTCCATGTTATATATGGGCCACTCTAAGAAACTCGTACACTCTTTTCACAGGCATAATCTCCCCATTTGGAAAACTGCGTATCTTATATTTTTTATAAGAAATATGTGAAAACTAATTAACACAAAAATCTCCTGGAATGGTCTCTGGCAAACTGCACATACACCTGTTGAGAAGTCCCAAACAGCAGCAGTAGGATTGAGTTTATGTGTCAGAAACACAGCAAAGGAAAAATAGTCAGTCTTGGAGTGTCTTGAATCAGCAATTCCATGTGGAATTTATGGTGATTTATAGTGCACCATCTAGTGAGGCTGAAATGTCACTGCTGGTTTGAAAGTTCATATGCCTCCTGCCATTCTAGTTGCTCTACTTCTGTGTGTCCCCAGACTCACCTAGTTCTTTTTAAAGTTTTTAAAGATCCTCAGTCTTTTGCAATTGTATCGTGTGGCTGCCAATTCAGACTTGACAATTTTCCCACTTTTGGCAATAGACTGTTTCTTTTAGTGCCAATGTCTTGCCCTACTGGGCTTTGGGACAGATGGTAGTTGGAGCTGCTAAATGTCGTGAAGTTCTGGAGAAACTCAAAGATACATTTATGGATCAACCCTCTTGTGCATGCCGTGGAAGCCCAGTGCTACAGCTGTGTTAGATTACCTGTGTGTGTGATGAATGGACTACACATATGAAGACAGTTTGCCTGGGCCACAGTTGATTTGCAGTGTGTCATTTACAGATCAATTATATACATACACTGGGTAGGATGTGTAAGATTTGCCAGTGATATGAGCTGCTTCTTGTTATTATTTCTGCTTACACATCACTTTAGTTAATAGTTCTTTCTAAATTATGTATGTTAAGAAGGTATATATTTCAAACCCAGGAGAAAGTAAGGACTGTCTGAACTGGTCATACAAGTCTGCAGAGTAACTATTCTCATCACTTCTGTCTGAATAAAATAAAACTGGAGAATCCACTTTTTATTCCATTTCAATTTTGGTATACCTCCCCAGTACTCTGTTCCTTGGAGAAGAATGTTGTTGCCACTGTACCAGAATTCTATACTTTAATAGCATGGAGATATTTTTTAAATCTCAGTATGTGCTTGGGATTCATTTCATTCACATAAGCATAAGCATTGAACATTATTTGTTCTAGATGCCTCTGTAGTTACTAGAAAGGCATCTCTCAAGAGAGACTCCTCCCATCCTAAGCTATGTCTCCAAAATTATTTGTGCAAATAGCCCCTGACCATTGACTATGTCTCTATAGGGAGCCTGAACAATCGATTCAGATGGGTTAAGTCAGCTGCAGATGGTGAAAGCTGTGAAATCAGATATGATGAAATTCCAAATGCTTTGCAGAGTGTGAGCTTTACGCCTGATGATCGATCTATTCAGCATGTTTCTTCTTATTTAAAGAATTATTTTATGTTATTTTTCCACTCTGTGGGTAACTGCTTTAACAAAAATTGTGGAGAGAGTTCACCACAGCTTTAGACACTGCTCAGCAAGTTACTCACTTCTATTGTCTTACATGTGTTATTTTTGTCTTCTTTAGTCTTCTGGTACCAGTATCACAGTGGATATTGCTGTCATGGGAGAAGCACATGGGCTCATCACAGACCTTCTGGCAGATCCTTCGCTGCCCCCCAACGTGTGCACTTCACTGAGAACAGTGAGCAACCTGCTTAATACTCAGTTAACCTTCCAGGCCATCCACAAGCCAAGGGTGAACCCTTTGGTGTCCTTCAGTGAGAACTACACCTGCTCCGACTCAGAGGAATGTCCGGAGAAAGGAGAGAAACTAGCTATTCCCAAGGTGAGTACCGGACCCTGCCTATCATCTTGTAACTTGGGTCTCCCTAAAGGGGCAGTGCGGGACTAGTGGGAGGTGTCACTGGGCTTTTTGCTTGTTGCTTCAGATTAAATCTTATGCACTAACCATAATCTACTGTAAGAGGACAGCTAAATATCCTATTGGTTTCATAGTAAGATAATTCCTGTGTATCCTTCAACTTATAGCCAGGTTAAGTTTGGTTCAGGCATCTTTAGAAGATGATATTTTGCACAGGATAGCTCACATAGATGGTGTGCGTATTGCCTTGCAGGTGTTGGTTGGAGCTTAAGAGAGAAGAACGATAGGGAGCAGAGTAAGCAAAAGCCTTTCAGCATCCAGACTCATTTTTGGGTTGGATAGATATAGCAGGAAAAAAAGTCTGCCCTATTACTTCTCACACAGAAATTTCCCTTCCACTCAAAAGATTTGAGCCACTGCATGTGGGGTGCCTATCCTCGTCAATGAGCAGCGAGGAATTAAGTAGTAATATGAGGGACCTTTTCGCCCACTTTGAAGGTTCAAATTTGAAATTCTGTATGAATTTCAGTCTCTTCTTCTTCCCTTAGTTAGAGGTGTGAAACCTAGAGAAGTCAATGTAGAAGTCTCTATTGATGACCTCCAGGTGCTTTGGATCAAGTTTAAAATATTGTATACCAAACAAAGAAACAAAAAAGATCACCATAATACTTAGTATGACAAATATTGTGAGTTCATGGGAGTAGTCTTGAGAAGAAAAAGAAGACTGAAACAGAAAAATGTATATATTACTGCCTGGACAGATGGCTTTATGAATGCTCAGGAATCCAGCAGGAATAATCAGTGTTAACCACCCCCATTTAGTAAGTAAACAACTGGAAAGAACACATCAGCTTTGAAGTAGTTTGAATTGTAGATTCATTGCTAATTAGCTGTCCTGCAAGGCTTACATTCAATTTTTGAAACTAAACCAAAATACTTTTGTACTGCAATCTCCCTTGTAAAATTAAATGTAGGCAGAGTATGTTGTAAAGGCAAATACTTTTAACAGTTCAAATGATACAGGCAGTGTTCATTCCAGCATTTCCTGGTATCTGAATTGCAACACTTGTGTTTCTTTTTTTAATATATTTTAGTGTGATGATAATTATTACCCTATTTGCCTATGTAGCAGCTGTCTATATGAAATGGATGTTCACAGATTTTTAAGCACATTTTCCAGTTTATTTTAGTGTACATGTCCATAATGGCTGTACTCTAGGCTCTGAGGAGACAAGTTAAGTGGAAGAACAGTGCCATCACATGAGCAAACACAGTGAACAGATATTAGTCTGCTGTTGCATAGTACCTAGTGAGAATATAAATGAAGGATGAAGAAATGAGTTAATGCAACAGAGAACTAATTTCACTGAACAATTCACTGACCTCAATGTATTACAATTCATAAAACTAATAGTTTGCAGTCCTTTATTTAAGTGTCTAAATAGAGATTTAGTATCTTTACCTTAAGTATCTGACACTGAGAATTTTGGGTAAGGAGATAGTATGTTAACATATCTGTAAGTCTGAGCTTCAGAACTACAAGTGTCTTGTATCTCATATCTCTTAACCCTCTGGCAAAGTCAGAGCTCTCCATCACAGAGACATCTATTTTACTTCTTAACTATAAACACTTCATGAGAACTACAAGAGAAACATCTTACAAAATTATAGCATCTGTCACAGCAAATCTGGATCCACAAAGGCTGTCTACCATGATCCTTTATTATCTCTGCCTTTAGAATATTGGAAAAACAATATAAATCCTGTTAGTGGAGAAAAGGAAGAGTCTGCTGAAAGGAAAATGCAGAGTGGTCAAGAAAAATCTCTAAGCTTTTCAGGAGACATTATATCCCCAAGCACGGAAGTTTTATTTCAGTGGATGATCTTTGGATCAGGTAGCAAGAAAAAAAGTGTTATCTCCTATCCCTTATTTTTCTTAAAACTTTTCTTGTCTTGAATCTCTGATTCTGAGTATTCATGACAGTTTAAATCACAGAATAGTTGAGGTTGAAAGTATATCTAGAGTTCGTCTAGTCTAGTCCTGAGATCATCTAGTCCAGTCCCTCTGCTCAAGCAAGCTGAACCTAGGGCAAGTTTCTCTAGGCTCAACCTAGAGCAGGTTGCTCAGGATGTTGTCCAGTTGGGTTTTAAGTATCTCCTTGGATGTAGACTCCACAGCCATTCTGGAAACCTCTTTCAGTGTTCAATCATCATCACAGTAAAAAAACATTTTCTTACATTTAAATGGAATTTCTTGTATTTGAATTTGTGCCACATTGCCTTTTGTCCTGTCACTGGACACCACTGGAAAGAGCCTGGCTCTGACTTCTTTGCACTCTACCTTTAGGTATTTATATACGTTGGTAAGATCTCCCCTGAGCCTTCTTGTCTTCAGATTGAGCAATCCCAACTCTGTTAGCCTTTCCTTTAATGACAGATGCTCCAATCCCTCAGTCACCTTTGTGGCCCTGATGACTTGTTTATGTGCCTTTGGCCACATAATGTAAGACCAAAATTTTTAAAGAGCACACTGGCTGACTCCAGTGAGAGCTCTGAGTGTTCAACATCTGTGGATATATACTTTTCTTTAAATTTGAAATAGGGAGGATTGTCCAGGCCCTCCAAGCATTTAAAGTGCCATCTGTGTTGATTTGAATACAAGGTAGGCACCATAATAGCTGGAAGAATCGAGATTTAGGATACCTCACTAGCTGTTGTCAGGCAGAATTCATCAAATGGAAATGTTTTTCTTCTGCATGTTTAGTTTTTGTAAGCCTGTATAAACTCTAAGCAACTGATTTCTCTCTAGCGCTTACGGAAAAGTTTGCCTTCAGGACTACTGAGACGAGTGTCCTCAACTTGGACTACAACAACATCAGCCACAGGATTACCTACACTGGAGCCAGCTCCAGTGAGAAGGGATCGCAGTGCCAGCATCAAACCTCATGAATCATCTTCATCCAGGTTACAAATTACCTTCTCTGTCTTTCATGTGTCTCTTTGGGCAAATTTGTTTGGTTCTGTGTGATGATGTCACTTGTTTTAAAATGCTGAATCCAAAGTGTATAAGAACTACTTCTTCATGTTTCTAATATAAATTGGGTTGCCAAAGCAGTGGCATTCCAAATTTTAGTCAGATTATGCCAAAACTATTCTTATTATTGGGAAGCAAAATGAAAAAAAAGAAAAATCTATTTATGCTAGAAAAATGCAGAATTGCACAGTAAAATTGGAAACAAGGCAAGATATCTGATTAAAATCTTATTGATATGCATCAGTTTCCTCCATGGCTATTGCTCAGCCAAAATTGTAGCAAGTAACCCAGCTGCTGAACATCACTTCTAAGAACACACCTAGTTGATGTGGTCCAGTCATTAAACCAGTTCATAAAACATTTCCCAATCCTCTAGATACTAATTTCCAGTACACAAACCCTGATTTTAAGTGGACCTTCCTAAAATACACCATTTTGTGGTTTTCTGTCTATAGATATAGAGTATCAGGAGACCATACAGCACTGTACATGCCCTGCATCCTATGTACACACTTAATTCCAGAATATAAGACGTGCTTAGGGATCCCTGAATGAACTCATGCAAATGCAATACCAGCAATATATGGTAAATAAAAATAATTCAGTTACATAAGTCAAAAAGTGATTTAGTGGAGAGAAGAAAGTAGATTTGTTACCATTGGGGGAAAAAAAAAAAGGTATAATCTAGGAGTAAAATTACGTGGGAAGATTTGTTAGTAGAGGTTGAAAGCAAAGCTGAAAATGAAGTTGGCAGTGTAAAGTTTTCTTGCAGGATGGTTGCTGTACTTTCCCTAATTTTAAGCATTGCAGTGGAACACTTCTTTCCTGTTGACCACAGATTTTAGCTTCTGGAATTCAGAATCCCAACTGTATCTCTTCCTTAGTCCCAACTGTCTCATCTAGTTAAAAGGCTTTTCCTAATTTGCCATGAGAAGCAAGTACATACAGCTGTTTTGTTGGGGTGCAGACTGAGTGCCCACCTCCGTTTATGATGCATTTATTTACTTAATAACTTTTCTCCATATTTTCAAGGGTTCTGTAATAAGGTGCTGGTACTGGAAGAGTCACAACTACACAGCAATAATTAATAAAGACTTGAAGTGAATTTCAGCAAAATCACTGGAGGAATTGTACATTATTTTTCCTGTCTAGAAAAAGAGTTCTGGATTCAATTATGACACATACACTTTAAGGTTATGTTCATAACAAAGCACTACATCTTCAAAGAAGTTTGCATAGACAGAGATACCTACCTACTACATTTTGTGCCCAAACCAAAATTTAGTTCCCGTTGCCTAAAGCACATCCCTGAAAGTCTTTCAGAGTTACTTAGAAGCACGCTAATTGTCACTGTTAGGAAGAGACAGGTCTTTGTCTTACAGCTGAAGTCCCTCATGACATACTATATCAGTTAGGTATTCCTTGCTCACTCTTATCCATTCTCTTTTTCTCAGAGTCTGATCCCTGAGCCAGTATCATAAAATACATAGTCGTCTCATGAAATGGAGAGAGAGAATTTGCATCTGTTCAGCTGCTTATAGCCATCAGCTGACTGGTTATGGGCATTTAAAGAGAAATACCTTAATAAAGTTCCTTCTCTGCCTGAGGGCATTCAGACCTATGTACCTCACATTTTGGGACTTCCATGGTACCAGATAGCCTGAGGTGTGCTGATGTTAACCCTCCACAAGGGCTGCAGCAAATAATGCAGTAGCAGCCAGTGAAAGAAGGACTTTAATGGATGTTAGTCTTGTAGGAAGGGCACCTGTCTGTGAGAAGAGAGGCCTTGGGTCCCAGGTGCTGTTAACTATGATACACTACATAGCTATTTCAACAGGAATTCCTCCGTTCTGGATTCATTTATATTTTTCTATTCTAGTCGGAAAGGAGCAGGGCCTTCAAACGAAGGGCAGAGGTCAGTCATTCATGCAGCCTGGTATAGCTATGGTGCCAGCCTGTGAGAATAAAGTTGAAGTCCCCTCCCCACCTCAGCAAGGTCTATCATCTTAGAGCTGGTGGATGAGGAGAGAGTGTGGAGACATGCTTTGCTATAGGGAAAAGAGGAGCAGGAAAAAAGCACCATATCCAAGAAGAGAATTCAGAGCTCTGATAACAGAAGACTCACATGTCTTTCTGCAGTTCAGAATTTGGTGCTGGTAGTGGAGAAAAAGATAGGACCTGAAAAGGCCCAACATTACCAGCTGCTGGATAGCTTGGGTGAATGAAGCCCCCGAGAGCTACCTTGGTCAGACATTCTTCCAGATACATAAACCTGCATAGAGGAGGCTCTTGTGCAGGGTGCCTAGGTGCTCAAGGCAGCCTCCAGAGTGCACTTGAAGGTCTGATGAAAGAAAAATATATGGTTAGCCAAAGTTTCCTTTGTGAGGAGTCCCATGTATCTCAGTAAAAGTAAATATAAAGAAGTTATAACCAAATGGAATGTTCTTCAATAACCAGCCTGTTGTTTCCAGGCTACCTTTGATTTATACTGTTGATCCCAGACTCTCATGTAGTATTTAAGCATCCTAAGATGGGAATCAGAGGGAGAAGGAGAGCAATTAAATATTATTGTTCATCCTTTTCTATGGTTGTTATATAACTCTGCATGATGAGCCAACTAAGGAGGCTATCAATTCTTCCTATGTTTAATGTCTCCAGTTGTGTAATTATAGCTCTGTCAGGCCTCCCAGCCTACTGTTTTCAGATTATCTTTTACAGTAGGAGCAACAATGTGTATTCCAGAAAGGGGAAGAAGTAATACTATGAATCTAGCTTTAAAAATTTTGGCAGACAGAATTGCTTTCAAGGAAAAAAAATTTGAACTGAAGGGAAAGAAAAAAATATTGATTATCTGCCACGTCCCCTGTACCTAATTCAATCACACCACAGGTCACAGAGAAAAGAACATTTCATGGCTTGAAGGGTAGGCGAGGGGAAATGACACTGGAATTGCCCTGTGGCAGATTCTGCAGTTACAAAATCTGTAACTTATTCCTCACAGTCTGGGACATCACCTCTAGATTTCTGTAGTCACATATTTGCAAAAATCCCCCTAAATCTCTGTTTAAGTTTAATTCTGTATTCTTCCAGCCACTAAACTGATAAGACATGGTCCTTTTACAGCTTCAAATGATTTGGGAAAAAATAATAGAGCTTCCACATTCTTTCCCTCAGTCAGTTCTGTATCCAGTGGTTCTCCCTTAAGAGGTCAAAGAATGTGGTTTGGGGGTCTTTGTTTTGGTTTCATTTGTGTTTTCTTTACAGTGGGCCAGTGTGTTATACTCTTCCTGTCAATTAAAAACCAAAACCATAAAAGAAAACAAACAAATAAAAAAAATAAACAGCAGGATTCTTTCTTTGTCTTGCTTCATCACAGATTATAGGAATTTGGGCCAGTGAAGTCAATTAGCAAATGTTTTTGTAGGTAGTGATTGCTCTTCCAATTAAGACAATGTTGCATGCTTTTTTCTTTCAGAACACTTTATTTTCAAATTTTTTTTCAAGTTCAGCTGGGGCTAGGCTGCTTTAAAAAGCTGTCTTCTGCCTTGAAAGTCATCTCATCACTTAGATGTGAGGCTGTGAGGAGAAATTTGGAGCCTGAGAGGCCTAGTGGATCTGTCCAGAGAAGTCATAGGCTTCATGATAAGAGCCAATGCTACATCCCTACAAACAGTTGACATTTGATGAGTGTCATTTTGGAAAAAAATGATAAATACAATTTGCTTGCCCTACAGAAGTATTTGGCCTCTTCTGGTGCACAGCTATAGCCTTCAGGCTGAAAGCATGCACCTGTCCTGTTGTAGAGGACTGGCATTTGTTCCCCACATCCAGACACATGCACCCTATTTTCTTTCAGTGAGTTTCTCTTGGATCAGTGACCAATGTCTTCAGGGTCTGTGAATGGGATTTTTTTTCAGGTGCAGTGTGCATTTCAGTTGGCTAGAGCATGAAGTGCTTCACCACCCCAGCCTTCTGAGAAGCTCCTCCAGTGCCCAAAGGCTTACTGGGTATCTGCTTTGGCAACTGCAGCAGAGGAGTCAAGGACACTGATTTTTCGTTTACACTAAGAGCTACTGGCTCTTGTAAAGAGGCATTAAAAGACAATATAAATTTAACTTATTTCAAGTCAACTTTTAAGCCTCTTTGTACCATCAGAATACAATGAAGAAATCTTTTATATATAAATAAAGTGAATAGGCCTCAGCACTGAAGGAAGTCCAGCTTTGGAGTGTCTGCATTGTAAATATTTTTGCTTAATACAATACTGAGTGCCTCACAAATAGAATTTCAGACAGCAGGTAGATGCTGTTTTCATCAGATTTTGGGCTATCTCAGTATCACATACTTCTTGCTGCAGCTCCTGACTTCTTAAGATCTGCTGTTAAAGCTTTTTACTGTGTTTACTCTCTGGTTTTGCAGCACTGACTCCTGGAACAGCTCAATTCTGATGACAATCACAAAGAGCAGGTCTTTCTCCACCTCTTATGCCATGTCTTCTACCAACCACCTGAATGCCAAAAGGCAGAGCCGGCAAGGTGAGTGGGCTTTGTGGCTCTGTTGGGCTCAATTAGCTGCTTCCCTGTGATTAGCACAAACAGCTGCTTTTGATCTCCGTCCAATCTGTATATTTTCATATTTTTCCATCAATATAAACATAGTTATTTCCTTTCTTTAAAAAACTCCAGTGGCTTAAAATAGTATAGCTCATAGTGATGCCGTTGTAAATGTTTTAACTTTTATGATTTATAGAGGTTAGTCATGACATGATGTGACAAGTGTGATACTAAATTGTGTTGTGATTTATATCCATGTAATTCCCTTGACTACAGCAGGGCTAAGAACAGTGTTTTCTATAACATCTGTTAGATTAACTGTCTGTGTATATTGCCTGACAGAGATTTCCTGAAGCACAACCTACGTAATGCCATTCAGAGCTGTAGGCAGCAACTGACCCATTTTATACAAACATATCCAAGTCATTATACCTCAGAGATCTGTCTCTGTATATTTATTATTGACAAAGTCCAGGTAGTTCTGACTGATTTTTAGAGATGAGAAACATGCGGCTTTTTACTCAACTTTTGGGACCTTTAAAAAAATTACTCTTGTTTTAACTGAGACAAAGAAATTGAGAAGGTGACTTCTTAATTGATAATGAAACATGCAGTATGACAGTCATGAAGCAGTCTTAATCCACACTAATGTGGATTCCTGTACAAATGCAGGATAAAGAAAGTTTACCCATGCTTTAACTTGCAATTCAAAATGATCACAAGGTCTTCCTTTTTTAAATCAGTCCGTTGGGGTTTTTTTTTTTTCCAAACATGGAATAATGTTGAGATAGTGTTACTCAGAGATACTGACCACTCAGACATCAGGTGAAAATTGATAGATGCCTGAGGCTTGACATAGGAAAAGTCAGAGAATCCCAATTTAGATGGGTTTGAAGATACGCTGCACAATTATTCTGCATATCTAACACTGTCATATTGCATATCCTTTTCAGACTGAAGACCTTATTTAATCTCCTCTTGTACAGAAGCTGCTTTGTTATACATATACATACACTTTGTTATATATATATATATATATATATATATATAGTGAAGATTAAGTAACACAATATTATCTTAAAAGGTAATAGGCACATAGGCAAAAGAATAAAATTGAACCTGGAAAATAATGGAGATATAGTACCAAGAATCCAGGAATTTGTTTTAGAACAAACCAAATCCAATTTAGACTTGTGATTTTCAAAGATTAACCCATTAACTTGAAAGGGGAAGTGCATGTGTATTATATTTTATACTTGGGAAACAAGACTTATCAACCTCATCAGTCAGTTTTACATTTAGCCTCTTTTATTTCCAGAAAGTGTTAATAATCATCTCTTTTGCCCAAATGCATGAGCTCTCCCATGATGAAGGAAGAGGTCCATTCCATCACAAGCAATTCCTAGGAGCACTGATTGACAGGAGTAAAAATTTTGGCTCACCATTTTATGAAGAAGGTTGATATTTTGATGTTTTACATTGTTTACACTCATACATTTTTAATTATGATTTGGTTTTGTGTTTCAACTAAGGAATTGCTTCCATTTGCACTAATTAATACAAATTGAACTTTTACATATTAGCTCCATTGGCAATATATAATAATTCTTATAAGTTGATCACTGATCTAGCTAAATCTGTAAATGTAAAAAATGTGTCTTTAATTATGCATGAGAATATTAGCATTTAAAAATACTGCTAGCTATACCTATTTTGGCAAAATTCTGAGGTAAACTCAAGTGTTTTCATATGTAATTTCACATCACATTGAAGTTACTGGGTTTTTTCTTCAACACTGCACATGTATAAAAGTTCTGGAGGACCTAAGCAGATGGATGTGCTTCAAAAAATGTGCCCCATATTATTCTTCTTCTCTTATCTTGATTGTTCAAAATTTCTTACTATAGCAAGACACATTTTCTCTCACTTTTGCCAATAAATAGTTAAATGATGGACTACTGAAAATAAGTTTTTGTTTTTCTGGCATATTTATTTTTGGTTACCTACCCTGGCAAATTACTCTTTAAACAAAAAACAATCAAACATACTTCAAGAGACAGGAGCCCAAACTAGCAGTAGAAAGCCAGCTGTGATTAGAAACATTGTGAAAATTGCTGTTTAATTCAGAGAACTTGCTTTAAACTGTTGAAAGGTGACCATATATATTGTATTCTCTGACAGTCATGAAGATTATTTGGTAACATATAGCTCAATCCCCTATGCAACAACAGACTGCAAAATTTTTTTAAGACATATTTTTGTTGGATGTCATGGCCATCTGATAACTTTTTAATTGCTCTGGTGTTTCTGATCTCAAGACTAACATAATATCCTAGTTGTAATCATTTAATTAGGACAGTAATACATACCACATGTTTGCTGAAGAAATACCCTAATCAAAATTTAGGAGATGTTTGCTATCTCAAAATTACAGTGTAGTAACTGTCAGAGATTATTTTTATCTCTTGGATTGTCAACAGTAAATCATATTTTAACCTTAGTTAAATTGTTATCCAGAAAGTTGTTATCAGGAAAAAACACTGGAACTGTACACATATATCCTGTAAGGTTAGTATTTCATAAACTTAGATCAACATGTTGCCTTATTCTAAGATAATTTTTCTGTCTGAAATGAATTTAGATAGCTTGCACAATTCAAACATAAAACCAGTTAAAGTTCCGCTATATCATTTGGCTTTGAAGATCAACATGGTAAATTAACTGGGTCTAAGTTCCTACAAACTTTAGAACAGGAGGTAAGTGAATTTACATGCATTCCTTATAAAATAGATTATGTCTACTACTCTGTGCTTTATTGTGAATGGGACCTTTTTGTCTCAGACTAGAAAACACAAAGTGGATTCAAAAAGAAGGCAGCACTTTTTCTCAAACACTGGACTGGCTAATGCATTTTATCTTAGCAGTGGTGCTTCGATAGAATAAGGGACAGAGAAAACCACATCTTGCTAGTGTTAGCGTATGTGGATATCGGCAGTTTCTGACACACTAGCTCAGGATGTGTGTGGTACAGGTAATGGTCACAAGTGTCCCATAGTGAGCAACAGATATTGAAAACTAAACTCAAGCTACACAAGATCAAGACCAAAATCTGTGAGGAATGCAGTAATAGCATCATAAGCACAATATTTTATACTCATATAATTTATGACTACTAAAGATTGCTTTTTGGGTTTATTGCTAGTCTTTACACATGTAGAAATTCAAATTTGCTGGGAATGTGTGTAAGCCTTTCCTGTCCCTGCTTTACAGATGGAGACAGTGAAGCAAAGAGAAACTGCAGATGGGTCTAGGAGCTGCATATTTGGATTTTGATGTATCTGTCACTACATCATCTTGATACCAATAGTCATGCCACTAACATGTGCCTTTCACTTCATGCCTGCAAGTTAGTGCATTCTGCTCAGCAGGGAGAATATGCTTCATATTTTGAGCCAGATCTTCAGCAGGTAGAAGTGGCCGATATTAATGGAGCTTTATCTCTCTGTGACAGTCATGCACTTGGCTCAGAGTGAAGGAGAGCTTTCTCTTATTTTTCCATTTGGAAGCTATGCTGGTACCTGCGCATCTCAAGAGGAGTATTTCTGCACAGTGAACTCATGCAACCATCTGCTACTTCTGTTAATTGACAAGACTCTTTTCTCTTGCCAGGTATCCCGCCAAATATTTCACCTCTTATGTCCCCATGCCATTCACCGATTCAGGGGACACCTGCCACAAGTCCTACTGGAAAAACATCTTCTGTATCATTTCCAGACTCTTCAGATACTAACACCAAGCAAGGCTTAAAGCCGCATAAAGTCTTAACTTCTACTCAGAGTGCACCTAGCCTGTCAGACCCTATTATCAGCCCCTCTGTCATCTGCAGCAGGTAAGATAGTAATTTGACATGCATTGGAATCATTTCACGTTGTTCTCATGAACAAACTCTTCTGGCACCCATAAAAGTTTTTATGATCTGCTGCAGTATTGTGTACTGATACTTTACCATATCTAAGCAGTTCTTAGTCTATGAATAATTGTGTAGACTGATGCTGCAAAGTGCTTTTAAAGTGCAAGGTGGTCAGCTGTGTTTATACTCATGTCAGATGCAGTCTGATTCATAAATAAATTCTTTGTCAGTCTTTGATCTTGCAGATCCCGAAATTGGATTTCATGTTAAAAACCTGTGTCTCTCATGCCATGCCCTTAACCTGAACAGTCATTTTGAGGTCACAGGCCAAGTCTTTAAGAGCTGACACCTGATGTTTGATAGAAAAATCTGACTGCTAGAGTTTAAAAGCCTTCTGATAAAGGTATGCCAACAATGCTTGAAGAGTACATAATTTTGAGCATTCTCAGAAGGAATGGGTCCTGTCTTCCTTAGGCAGAGTCAGATTATGTAGATTAGTCAGATTGGGATTTTCTTCAGAAATCAACTGCAGTCGAGTTTTTTACACTTTCAAGTAGCCCGTTATTAGATTATGCAGACCTGCTCTGCAAAATCAGCATTTTGGAAAGAAATTTTTTCTGCTTATCTTCTCACAAAGAATTCAGTTGCCCAATTAGATTACTGGAGTCTGCAATATGTAATCCAGTTCAGAATAGTGGAAAACACTGGTACTTAGAAGCCTGTTCCAGTGCAGTTTCAAGGTTACCTTAGTCACTGGATGTTACTTTTGATCACAGTAGTGAGTGATTTGTGATTACTGGCTATCCAGTGGACAGCACGTCATCTGAGTCAGGGTTAAGTGTTATTGAGTTTGACTCTCTTTGGAAATAGTTTTTCGTTTCTAGCTTCAGTCATGTGACTTTGGATCTGTCTTGATATGTGTGCAGGGCTAGGAAGTGGGTGTGAGAAAGTCAAAATTAAGATTGCAGGTTTGATCAAGGGAGTCATCCTCACTGGAGTACAGACTAGGATCCTTACAGGCTTTTAAGACAAATTTAGGTGACTAAATAGAAACTAAGTGCTTTTAAAAGTTTTCCAAAGGTGTATTGCAAAACTGGGACTTGTACTTACGCACTGGAAATGAAAACTACATTACACATAAGAAATATACCATCAAACTGTGCCTTTATTACTACTTCAGCAAAATATTATTACTTTAAGTGGTAACAATTATGATTGGAAACCCAATTAAAAAAAAGTTAACAGTTACATAAAAATGTCAGAAAAAAATTATCAACATAAGGTTGTTGTAGGCACTAATGAAACATATTTTCTTGATATGTTTAGACTTCAAAGTGGTTATTGGTAAAATGCTCATTAGTTTTTATGTGGCTACTGTCTTATGTGATCTATGTAGGTTGCATTGCATATTTAGATTCTTAATTTCCTTGTTTTCAAAAGTTTTAGCATTTATAAGCATGACAAATAGTTACATTGTTGACTTTGTTGTTGATTTGTTGAAATAAACACATTATTTAAAAACACATTACTTAAAATATTATAGTGTATTGACTGTTAATAGAATGGGCATCCAGTATTACTAACAGTCACTGTTCCTTTAACATCCATTTAAAAATCATAAGCACTGTCTGAAATGTTGGGGTTTCAACCCCAAGCCCCAAATTAAGGTTGACATATGGTGATTCCCACAGCCCTTCATAAAGGGGGGGTGAGTTACCCCTAAGCTTCCCTCCAGGGTGGTGCCGGCCTTGCAGGGAGAGCCATTAGGTAAATGAGCCCCAGGTGTCCCACATGAAGTAAGCAAAGGTCAGGTGTCCCACTTGGGGATAAAAGCTGGGACCCCTTGCAGGAAGGGGCAGTGTCTGTCTGTGAGGTGGATGCACTTTGCAGAGTTTCCTGTTGGGGAAGGACCTCCTGCCTCCCTGGGACTGGGCTCCAGTCAGGTCTGGCTTTTGTAAGTGTGAGCTGTGTAGAGATTCAGTATGTGGCTTCCTTGGTCTCATGTGTTTGGTTTGTTGACTCAGTTGTCTCCTGTCTCTTCTATGGGAAACTGCATTTCACTGTTTATTCCACCCATTGTTGGTTGTGGGGTGTTGTTGTTGGGGTCAGTGGGATTGCTGTCAATTATGTATAATCTGACTGACTTGTTTGTACCCCCAGTGCTCACCCATGTACTGACCCTTTTGTATCAATTTGGTTATTGGTTCATCTTTATGCTGGCTGTGTCCTTTATGCTAGGCCTAAGAATTGATAAAACACTGTTTCATTTCTATATTTGTGTATAGAGATGTTGTATCCACACATATAAACTGAACCAACAGCATATAAATTATATATCGCTTAGTAACACAACTTGAAAAAGTAGAACTTGCAAAAAACACAACATGAAAAAACAACAAAAACACCAAAGAAATTAAATGGCTAAAACAATCTGAGTTAAATTAACAAACATTGGAAATAAATCTTTTAAAGTTCTTACACTGTAGAGTGCTGGTCTTCATGATATGCAACCCCCTGCATTTACTGATAAAAAACGTGCCTCGCAAGGAAATAATACTAAACCAGCAAGCCTCTGCCATCACCAAACCAATCCCTCCCACAACAACAAAAGAAGAAATAAACTCTTGGTGGGGTCAGTGCTTTAAATCAAATTCACCCAGGCTGTGACATCAAGACAGTAGCTTTACTGTACTTTATTTTTACCTACAAAGTGAAATGTGGTAGGACAGCAGAGTTTGAAAACTGCATTAAATAAGAACATATACCAGACAATGCTGTTAAAGTAACTTGTAAGTAATCATTTTTAATTTTGTTTAGTGGGTGAGGCAGGTATCCTGTGGAAAAAGTCAAACAATCCTGTGATTAAGAAGTATATTATAATGCCTGTGCATGCAGAGGATTGAGTTAAAGCTGCATGGGCACATTTACTTCTGACATAGAGCAGATTTTAAGTGTTGTTATTGGTAGCTCTGTAATTTTTTTATATAGTGTTTTATGTGGACCATGCATATTAGTGTGAGTTTGCTTTGTTCTGGAGATAAAGTATGCTCTTAATGACACAAAAGCCTTGTAGCATTACAACTAATCAAAGGATCTCTTTCTCTTTTATGTTTCAACTTGTTAGCATTGACCTTATGGAAACCACAAGGAATGTGGGAGAGAGAAATTAATAAATGTTTTTCATCTTATTTATAAACCTGAGTGATAAGACTTGCTTGTTTGGCTATGAACTGCAAGTGTCTTTGTATATAGATTTGTGTTTTTATTTAAAGTTCTGTCAGGAATTCATTATGTTTGCAGGGCATATCAAGCTCCAGAATATGTTTTGGATGACCCCCATCAAAAGCCATCTGGCATAGGATTTCAGTCATTTTTATATGGTGAACTTACATTGGTGCAAAGTTTCGAGTACCAAGTTTGACCAATCAAAATAATTTCATAATAGTTGCTTTGAAAAAGCTGTTACATATGAGATATGCCACAAAATACTGACTTGAAAAAGAGAAAGAAATGTTAAAATGTCAGTTTTTCATGGACAGATTTGATATAATGGTGCTAAATGACGCTTCAGATTTGTTATGTTCTTTCGTGTTTTCATGATATGTCATTGATCCTTCAGGTCCAAGATTCAATCATATTGAGACATTTTAATTTGAAATGTTCCAGCTGGTATTGAATTCATGTTTAGGTCTTAGAGGGAATCACACTCAAGGAATAAAGCATTTTAATGGAAGGGAAGAGCCATTCATTTGGAAAGACTATGATATTGTGATCCCTCCCACGTCTTTCTGTTGTGAGAATGTTGAAGCAAACTCTATCTTCTAGTTTCATTGCTAAATGTCTGGATGCCAGACCACTCACTTCATGTTCCATCCAAAACACCCCCTTATTTCTGATGTACTTGGTAGGTTGTCACTGAATTAATGGCAAAATACCTTTTTCCTCCTTAAGAGGAACATAAGTTCTAAACAAGAAAAGGAGAGTAAAGCTACATTATGACTGTGTTCAAATTAAATTATATAAGATTGTATGGCACTCAGACACATTTTCATCATTTTCATTCATGTTTATAGGAGTACTGTAGTACAAAACCAGGGGAATTTTGTACTGATAAACTTAGAGAATAAAAAATTTATTTTAGAAAAAAAATCACATGGTATAGGTTTACTGTTGACAATACAAAATTAATGGTGGTGGCCAGTTGATCCAAGGTCCTTTTGTATTTTTGTCTTTTTACATTCCTTATTTCCAATAAAACTTCAACTCTCTCTTGTAATTTTGTCTGGAGAATATACCATGTACCGTAGCTTATACTGTATGACATAATTTTACACTGTCAACAGGCAATCATTTTACATAAAACTGTCCAGTGCACAAGGTTCTTTATATTGTGCATGTTTCTTGATGTATTTCAGCTGTGGAAGACCCTATAACCAAATAGAAGCTGGTCATGGGACACTAGATAGGAGTGATGGTACCACACACACCCTGAACAGAGCAGGTAATTCTTTGTCCATCAAAAACTCCTCATCCCTTAAAATTCAATAATCATTCACTGAAAGGGCAGATATGCTTGTCTGTCATAAAAGGAGAACATATGTAGGTGAGACCATACAAATTGTCTTTGAATGTCTTTCCATTTTATATGTACAATGTGTGTGAAATGCTAGTGGAGAACAGAGTTAAAAATATAAAGGAAATAAGGTTTCTCTCATCTAACCTAGTCAGCTCAAATAATGATCCTCTGAATTTTTCTCACTCTTCAGTCCTCAATCCCATTTTTTACACTCTGCAGGTTATATGCTTTAATGCCTTTGGACAGATTATCCGACTTTGGACCCAGCCAAGCAGCACATATATATTATGAGTCAGAGATGCTGTTGCTATTATTCAGAAGGGCACAGGATGACTTTCATGCAATCCTTGCTGTTCACACAACAAGCTTTGTGACTTGTGTTTTAGATGATCCTGCGCAAGCCACTTCTGACTATGAAACCAACAACAGTGACAGCAGTGATATCCTACAAAACGATGATGAGACAGATTGTTCTAAAGAACAGAAGGGATCCATCTGTAGGACATACACGCCTGAGACCATCATTCTGCATCCTTTGATACCACCTGAGGTAGCTTGTTTAAATTCCACTTGCACAACAGATTGAGTATATACTGACACTGGGGGGGAGGGGAACAACAAAAAACCCCCAACAAACAAACCAACCAAGCCAACTGAAAAACCCAACCTTCCACAAAATAAACCCTAGGGCTGTCTAAAGATCGTGACCATGGTTTTAAGCAACAATTGCAGCAGGTTTCTACCTTGCAGTAGGAGGATTGACTTTCAAGAATTAAAAGGAACCATTGAAATATGTGAGAGCTGCTAAGCACTGGCCATTTGTTAAACACTAACCATCTATTTTGATGAAGTTTATGCATCTGGTGTTAGGCATTTCTGAAATGTTTGGCTTCTGTGCTAGCATTGCCTTTAAGGGGAATGGATTGGAAGGAAGAGAAATTACCTTCTCAGACTAGCAACATGATTTATATATGTGTCTTCTTTTTCAGCCACTTCAGCTTCTCAGTGGTGTTGAAATCTTGGCTAATATATACAGTGGTACTTATTTTTAAATAAATTAACAGTTGTCTGAGGGTGCTGCATGATACTATTGTTGGTGTATGTCTTGAACATAAAAACAGTGCAGTATGGTGAACAAGTGCTGTTCTTGTGACTACTGTATTCAGCTGTAAGCTTGATTGAGATGTAAAGGGAAAGCTTTGTTTAGTTAAATTTTCCGCAGCCTGAATTAATATTTGAATTAATAAATTTACATTGGCATAAAGTTTTGAAAACTTTACTGTGATCTGTTGATTTGGAGTTGGACATGCTGAGAGGAGGCATTTTCCTTGAGATACTTTGGCATTTACTTTTCTACAGTTTCTTAGTAATAATGCAATTCAATGAAGTATACAGGGAGAAATGCAAAAGGAGGGGCACAACCCATGTTTTATTTGCAAACCTTGAAAAACAGCTAGGTTTCAGCTTAAGAAGTACAAGTCTTCACATGGACTGATCTCCATTAGCCATGCTAAATTGTAATGAATGGGTCCTGATGCGGAAGTAGAAACTGAGCACTTTTCCCTCTATACTGCAGCAGATTTTACAATGAAGATGACCCTTGGACAATGAAGAACTCCCTTGGAGATGAATGAATGATTCCCCTGAATGAATGAATTAATGTGTCTCATGGATAAGTTCAGAGACTGATGTTTCATATAAAGAATTTCCTATTCATTCAAGTGAAACAAATTATAATGGAGAGTGACTAGCTACAGGGCTGGTAGAAATGGGGACATCTCTGCTGAGCTGAGCAAAGTACCACAGACTTACAGATCACACTACTGTGACTTTAGTTTTTAAGAACATGAGATGAGATGCTTCATGGAACTAAAATTCATCTTTTTTTCTGATTTCTTCCATAGGACAAGGCTGTACTTGCTCCTGAGCCTCTAGTTATGGACAACTTGGATCCCCTGATGGAGCAGCTAAATAGCTGGAACTTCCCAATCTTTGATTTGGTGGAAAAAATTGGAAAGAAATGTGGTCGGATTCTCAGTCAGGTGAGCAGGATATCTTGTCTGAAATGACTGGCTAAATTATTGACAGATTTAGACAACTACTGTTAAGACCCATTGTCCCTGTGAGTTCATCATCCAATGAATTGTGATCCCTGCCACCTAATTCAAAGCTGACAATATGAATTCTGTCTCATTACATTGCTTACTTTTAAATTTCTTTATTTTAAATTTTAAAATGTGAAAAAGACCACACACCTATTTTGTCTGTTCCTCTCTGCCAATGAGTTTACGTAAACCTTTCATTCTCTTCTATCTGCAGGAGGTCCTGCCACCCCTTACCGAGTTTTTTGTGAAAGAGTTCTCATGGGGTTCAGCATGGGATGACTGAACAGCAAATATATTCAGTTGATGCAGGAAATACAGATCTTTGGCCCTTTTTTGTATTGGAGATTTTAGACAGGATGTGCAAGAAAGCAAGGTTTAGGAAGTGGGAGAAAAAGTAGTCCTTGCTTTATTCCCTCACTGTTAAAGAGTCAGCACTTCAATAGCAAATTCATATCATTATTACATAGGGAAGACTGATTTACTATGAATCAAGATGTGGGAGCTTTCTTTCAACTATCAGTTTTCCATTCCCTCCTCTAAGTTGAATGCAGGTACTGACACAGCCCATCTCTACCCAGCACGGTTAGTGTCACTTCAATAATAACTTTCTTGGCTGAACTTTCTTCTGTTATGCCCCTTTTCCTGGCACACTGACTTTCTTATGAAGTATTGAGGTTTATGAAACGGTAAAGACAAATTATTTAGTGATAGAAGGGAAAAAACCCCAAGAGAATCTGAGTGTTGTAGTATCACTTTACAAGTCATTATGTAGACATGAGTGCTGGAAAGAAGAAATTATGTTAATTGGTATGATGTAGTACAATTAACACCCCCACAAACACAGGGGTTAGTCTGTCAGGCAGATCTCAGTGCAACAAACTCCAGAGAATGCTGTATCAAATCTTGGTCCCTTGGTGGTTAACTATTACTCAGCTAGATTCAGTTATCCAGTGGTCAACCAGGAAAACCACGGCATGATTTCAAATTTATTCTGTGGTCTGCCTTTTTATTGTTCTGTAGCTTGGCAAGTAACATCTATGTTTAGCCAGCCTTCCAGCTCTCCAGGTTAATTTTAGAGAAATAAGCAAACTATGGCTGCATGTCGATTCTGATATAAATTCAGTGGTGATCACTGAGACACTTGTGCACTAGACAGTAAGCGTGTGATTAAAATTCTACATCATATTGGTCATGTTTTCTAATAGCATAGGATGATAATAGAATGGTAAATGAAACATAAGAAAAAACAGAATTTATTTCTAATGGCACAAACAACAGTTTGGATGAGCCAAAATTTGTTATAGATTTTAAGCACTTTACCAAATTGCATGGAGTTCTGTACCTCTCAGGACAATTCCACCTATGCCTCCCTCAATTTGCACTTAAGCTCCACACTCTGCTTTTCAACATGTGCTTTTTTGTACAGGTTCTGAGAATGTAATCCATTTCACAGTGTGTCTTGGTTTAAATGTAAATGAGGCCTGTGAAATAAAATAGAGAAGCTTTAATAAATATTTGTAACCAGAATTCAGCAATTTCTGTAACAGATGTTTATAATAACTCCCACTCCCTAAGAGCAGAAAGTTCAACCTTGTTCATAAAATATAGATCCTTTAGTTTTCCCCCACCTACTCAGATGTTTCTAACAAAAGTATTTTCAGAAATAAGAGAACTAAAATAAATTTTTCTGCAGCTGAAGGTGTTGGCTTTTTCTTGTACAATTTTAAAATTCTGGGATATTATAAACAAAGGAAAATAAAAGCTCTAATGATTTATTCTCTGTATTTTGCCATTAAATGGACTCATCCATTACCAGTAAATTAACAAGCTGAATTAACTATGTTTGCTTTGCTAGGTTAAATTTATGAGATGGAACAAAGCAGAGTTGACACGTGCCTCTAGGGAAGCGTTCAGTTTCTAAAGCAAATGCTGGCTTAGCATCTTTAAAACTGCTTGAGATGTCTGTTTCTTCTTTTTGGAATGTTAAATTGATTTAGACATATAAAAAGACTCCAAACCAGTCAGTGGCCATAAAAGGATCTGTGCAAAGTACAGTGGTAAGCACTCTAAATGTGACACTAAAAAATATGCATGATAGGGGTTAGAGAGGAATTTACATACCAATCTCATTTCAGAAAGGAACAGCAAGACCTCCTCCAACTGAGTTGATGCTTCACAACAGGCTAGATAACAGGTTAGATAATTATCGTCTTCAATCACACTTAAGACTCTTCCTACAGCTCCTATAAAATGAAAACCTGAGGAAGAGAAACTCATTTGACATGGAAAGCAAACAAAATTTTAAAAAATAAGCTAAAGTCAGGGTCTCTCTCTCTAGCTTTGATTACTGGGCCCATAGAGACAAGAAACGCTGGTGGTTCTCCTGTGCTCTCAGTACATCAGCAGTGTCAAAGTGGGGTAGCATCATTGCAGTATGTGTGAGTTGGTCCCTGGGTGGTGCCAAGAGGAATGTTTGTCCATCACCCATGGCTTCTGCATTGATGTTAGCCATCATCCATGGCTTCTGCAGAGAGAAACTGCAGCCTTTATATGCAGAAGTGGGAGAAATCAGCCCTTGGGGGTTGTGATATTCCTGGAATCGTCACAGCAGCCCTTGTGAGGAGTTGTGTTTGTCAGAGCCAGAGACCGGGTGCTGACAACTTGAAAGAAACACACATTTGACAAAAGCAAAGACAAAAATGAGTGCAAGAGGGTTGGATACCTGCAAACAATGAGTAGGGAACCACTAACCTAAACTTTTCACTGTGCCATGTGCTCCAACAAGAGGCATTTATGTGTGCCTGCAACACCCAGGAGAGGAGCTACGTGTGAATATCAAACGCCATTTCTAGAACAGCTTCCATTAGGAATCATTCAGGAGAAGTGCTTGCCCTTCTTCAGGCAGCACTGCCAGAAGTATCTGAGTTATAAATGATTCATTCAAGCATTGGCAATTGTTGCAGAGACAAGCAGAAAATGGAGGCTGGAGGGAAGAGGCAGCATGGAGCACCTGGCAGCTGTCGGAGTTTCCCTGGACTTTTTCCTGACAGCGGGAACTGCACCACGGCTGCGAGGGCACCATGCTCACCCCCTGGGATTGTAACTCCCAGGGAGGTTATGAAGCAGCATGTGGTTTGAGAAGGAAGAATTTTAAGACAGAGCAATGAATGAACAAAACTGCACAGTTGTTTTTTAGTTAGTTGACTTTCTGGAAGACATCAATGCTGTTTTTCCCTCTTTCTGACCTGCCCTTACCCCTTCCTTTTCCCCATTTGCTAAGAAAAAGAGAAAGAAAGACGACGTTACAAAAATGTCCAGATAAGTAGGTTGGCTGTTTATGCTTTCTGATGAACACAGAGAATAATGCCATTTTACTCCCAGTCGTGGGAAAGAGCTGTCACTCACATCCACCACAGTCAGCTTTGCTTCTTTTCAACTGCTGTGGAATTTCCAGCCCTCCAAAATCCAAGGGGAGTAAAAACATGCTTTTATGACATGCTTTATTTGAGATACCTGTCCAGTATTGGCCATCTAGCCCAGTAAGGTTTGGTCCTGCAGAATAATATTTCTTTATGCTGCTTCTTTTTATACAGAGATACTTTGCTGGGAAATGTGAAGCTTACTATTCAATGGTCTACGATGAGTATAAAATACCTCATCTCTCCCTAGGTGAAAGTTTAGATCCTGACTGATTTACTTCAGCCATAATTCCAGATAGATAAACAGAATTCTATGCAGTTTCTAATCAGAATTGTTCATAAAGTCAGTCTCTTCGTTTTGCCCTGTACAGGCCCTACCTTTTATTCTAAGCTCACGTCTTCCAGAGCACTCTAAGTCAGTAGCTCCTTTGCTGTAAAGAACTTTTTACTTTATGTGCAACAGCCATGGCCACAAATAGAAATTACTACCAGCAGTGATTATTCTGACTGCATTGCTAGTGGCACTTACACAGTTACGGTAGGAACAGAAGTAAGAGCTGGAGCCACCAGCAGAACCCCAACTGTCAGATATGTGTCATTAGAGGTGCATTCCAGGTAGTATCAGACGCCACACTTAACCTGCCTCTTCATCATCACTGCCTGTTGCAGTGCTTTGCCAGAGTTAGTTCGCATGCCATTTCCTGGTAGGAAATTATAGGGGGGGAGGCAGGGACAGAGGGAAGATCATTAATGCTGCAAATTCATATAGCTTTTGATTATTATTACTGTAAAAATCCACAGTGGCAGGACATTTGAAGTTTATGTTCATTAAACTTTAGTGCAGTTCACAGGTCCCAATTTATATACACAATATATAGAAACAAACGTGTGTGGATAACAGTTTGATTTAAATTCAGATAAAACAGGAAACATAATAAAAAATTCTTATCAGTATAGCACTCATTGTTCCAAATGTGCTTCAAATTTCTTAGCTCTAGGCAGATCATTACCAGACAGATGGCATCAAAAGGACAGAATTTAGCTAACAGCAAAATAACAGTGAAAGACGTTAAAAGATCAGGCAGTGATTTTACCATGTCCCATTGTTCTGTATGTCAAGTTCAAACTTACCTTCAGAAGTGTCCATTTTGCAGCAGCTGTCTACATTTCTGAGCACTCATCTTTCCTGAACACGCCCTCACTCATCCATCACATTCTCCCTTCCAGTATATCCTCCCCTGGAAGTCTACAGTCATCTTTACATGCAGGAACACTTGGAGCAGCTCTTCTTGCTAAGCCTTTTGCTGCTTCTGAAATCTTGTTGAAGTCACTTTTGCCATTTCACTTCTACAATGGGGGAGAGGGAAAGGAGATAATGCATAGGATCCTAATGGTTCTCTCCTTTTGTTATTCCTTCATTTTTTCCCCACTTTTTCTGTGAATTGATTTGATTCATGGACTCTCCTTGGAGAAGTTTTTGGGGAAATTTTCCCCAAGACACCAAAGACCTCTGGATATCATCCTTTATGTGTATACGTTCCTAAGGTGCTTGCAAAATTTGGAGGATCCATTTGCTCAAAAGGAAGAGAAGAACATCTGGAAGGGTGTAATGAAGGAGTGAGGAGAACTGTTTGGTACTAATAATAGCTTGTCTGTTTGGCTATGTAGCCAAGTCCCTGTGGAAATGCAAATAGCTGCAGCTATGGTGGGATCTGATGTACTTGAGAAAATACCATCTGGAAAGCAAGTTTTCAGGGGGTAATACAACAGAATGATTTTTATACCTAATTTTTAGAGGGTTTTTTGTCTATTTAGTAGCATGGTGGTTTTGTTTTTTCAGGTATCATACAGGCTTTTTGAAGACATGGGGCTGTTTGAAACCTTTAAAATACCAGTGAAGGAATTTATGAACTACTTTCATGCCTTGGAATGTGGATATCGAGAGATACCTTGTAAGTAAAAATTCCCAGCAGATAACAATGCTTCCTTAAAGTTTGGGGTATTTTCCATATACTTTGTTATTTAAGCCTTTCTTCTCTCATTATAACAGCTGGGTGTTTTTTCTTCTGCTACATCATGATGAAATAGATGGCTCTCTATTCAAAGGCTGGTGCTGAACAACAGCCTATTGTCTTTTTTTCATTGCATTGAATGTTTCATGTTATTTCATAGCAATTCATGGCAAATTCTGTGCAAGCCTGAAACCATATAAAACTACTATAGGTACAAAGAACTGTTCTCTGATGATGGAAGTGTACTCCAGTGCCTCAGTTGGATTTTATTGAAACATTCCCCCCCAAAGTATTTACTAATGCAAATCAAATTACCAAACTGCTTCAACTGCAAAAGACTTTTTTTCCTGAAGGAGAGGGAGCTATTACCCCCTTTAGCTGGTAGATAACCTGACTTTTGAGGAATATAGGACACCTACCTCCCAGAAATATGTCTGAAACATTGGTTTAATAAGTCATACAGTCTCTCTCTCAAAATACTAAATACCAATTGGAACAACTATGGTGGGAGGGATTGAAGGAAAGCTACCTCAAAATGCCTCCCAGACAGGTGGTTTGGACCAAAAACACCTGTGAGAGACCAAATTTCAAATCTTTCCTTGTGTTTGAACCTGATCAAGGATGTGAAGCAGCAGATTGTATGAGGGGCTTATAGGTGGATGTCCAAAAGTTTGTCTGTCCTACTAGAGCCATTCCTCTTTGAAACATTGAACTATTCACAGAGTCTCAGGAATTTTTGCGAATCTTAGCCCGTCATTTCCTTCATTTTTCTTAAGTGTGTTTCATTTCACTAAAGCAGAATATTTTATCTAATACAAAATTTACCTTCCAGTTTTTAATTTCAGTGAAGGGGTAAAAGGCAAAACAACTTGTTTGGACTTAACCACTTCTTTCTTCTGGTTGCTGAACTGACAAATGGGTTACACCAAACTAATGGTGACTATCCTCCTGGTCGGATTAAATCAGTACAAGTTTCACAAGAGGTTAATCTGGCCTTTATTCTCGAGAAAAGCATTAGACCCCATATACAGGGCCATGCTCTAGGTTTTGCATGAGTTGATTAGTGGCTCAGGAAAGATGTTTTTAGTACTTTGAGGAAGGCAGAGGAGAGGAGACTCCTTCCTTATTTTACTTTCCTCTTTCTAAAAATAACCGTTTATGTGCTGCTTACTGTTTTGCTGTTAAAAATTTCAGCTAGCCATCACTAGCAAGTATTTAAAATGAAGGTCACAGAGAAGACAATGGAGAGCAAGAGAGGAAATCAAGGAGTAAATTAAAGGGCCAAGTGGAATGATATCATGCTCAAATTTAATGAGCAAGCAAAGTGATTGCAAATTGTGAATATAATAAACCTTTCAGTGTTACACCTGTCTGCCCTTGGCAGGCAGGATTCTGCTGATTTTTGATCCTGAAAAAATAGGCAGTTGCCTCAAGCACAGGAGTGTATGGTCAGCAATATGGTGAGCCCTCCTCTGCCAGAGCCAGGAAAATGCAGGCTGGCAGCTGCTGCCCTGCTTGATGGTAGAGGTTAGAAACGTGGCTCAGCGGTGCTGTGACATGCGGAAACAAACTCTACAACTCAGAGTTATAAAACAGGTATGTTTATTCTGGCCAGGGTGCAAGTGGATTTCTCCACAAAGCTTGCACACCGTCTCTGGCAAGTAGCCAAATATTTATTACACCAAAGCATACATATTCATTAGGAAAGGCCAGGTTATTACAATTAGTTTGGGGAATGTGTGATTATTATAAATATTTCTCGGAACTCAGTTGCATAGTCTGAGCATGTGTAGTAGAAATAAGGTGATCGTCTTTGGTGGTCAAGGGAGGAAGCAAGTGGTCTTCTTCACGGTGTTCACTCATTCCGGGACATGCCCTGTGAAGCAAAGTCCAGGTGTCTTCTTCCTAAATTGGCCAGATCATCCTCCCTAGATAACATCTCTGAGTCCTTTTGTTCAAGTTTGCCTACATACCCATTGAGGGCTTTGAGTCTCCTATCAGTGAGTTATCCTTTTAATTCATACCCCAGGGCTACCTGCTACTTTCTTAGCACAGCCAATCCCCAAACTATCTGGTAAGCTACACTGAATCCACAAAACAGTCTGGGCAAGCAGGATTCTTAGGCAATGTTCAGAAATCATCATATCACAGAATCATCTAGGACAGAAAAGACCTTGAAGGTCATCTAGTCCAACTAGTTAACCTAACATTGAGAGTTCTCAACTACAGCAGATCCCTCAGCACTATGTTGACCCTACTCTTGATGTTGACCCTGCTCCAGGGATGGGGACTCCACCACCTCCCTGGGCAGCCCATTCCAATGCTTAACATCCTTTTCTGTAAAGAAATGCTTCCTAATATACAGACTAAACCTTCCCTGGCACAACTTGAGGCCATTACTTCTTATCCTATCATTACTTGCTTAAAGAGACTCATCCCCAGCTCTCTGCACCCTCCTTTCAGGTAGCTGTAGAGGGTGATGAGGTCTCCCCTCAGCCTCCTCTTCTCCAAACTAAACACCCCCAGTTCCCTCAGCCGCTCCTCATACGACCTGTGCTCCAGACCCTGCACCAGCTCCGTTGCCCTTCTCTGGACACGCTCGAGTCATTCAATGTCCTTTTTGTAGTGAGGGACCCAAAACTGAACACAGGAATCGAGGTGCAGCCTCACCAGTGCCAAATACAGGGGTCAGATCCCTTCCCTGTCCCTGCTGGCCACGCTATTGCTGACACAAGCCAGGATGCCATTGGCCTTCTTGGCCCCCTGGGCACACTGCTGGCTCCTGTTCAGCTGGCTGTCAATCAACCCCCCCAGGTCCCTCTCTGACTGGCAGCTCTCCAGCCACTCCTCCCCAAGCCTGTAGCGCTGCTGGGGGTTGTTGTGGCCCAAGTGCAGCCCCCAGCATTTGGCCTTATTGAAACTCCCCCAGTTGGCCTCAGCCCATGGCTCCAGCCTGTCCAGGTCTCTCTGCAGAGCCTCCCTACCCTCGAGCAGACCAACACTCCCACCCAACTGGGTGTCATCTGCAAACTGACTGAGGGTGCACTCGATCCCCTCGTCTAGATCATCAATAAAGATGTTAAACAGGAGTGGCCCCAACACCGAGCCCTGGGGGACACCAGTCGTGACCGGCCGCCAACTGGATTTAACTCCATTCACCACAACTCTTTGGGCTCGCCCATCCAGCCAGTTTTTTACCCAGCAAAGCGTGTGCCCATCCAAGCTGTGAGCAGCCAGTTTTGCCAGGAGAATGATGTGTCAAAGGCCTTACTAATGTCAAGGTAGACAATATCCACAACCTTTCCCTCATTCCAGTAAGCAGGTCGTCCTGTTGTAGAAGGAGATCAGGTTTGTCAAGCAGGACCTGCCTTTCATAAACGCATGCTGACTGGGTCTCATCATTTGGTTTTCCCACATGTGTTGTGTGATGGTACTCAGGATGAGCTGCTCCATCAGCTTCCCAGGCACCAAAGTCAAGCTGACAAGCCTGTAATTTCCCACATCATCCTTCCAACCCTTTTTGTATGTGGGCATCACTCTGGTGGCCAATTTCCAATCTGTCAGGACCTCCCCAGTCAGCCAGGACTGCTGGTAAATGATGGAAAGCAGCTTGGTGAGCACCCCAGCCAGCTCCTTCAGCACCCTCGGGTGTATCCCATCCGGTCCCATAGACTTGTGTGTGTCTGTGTGATGCAGCAGGTCACTGACTGTCTCCTCCTGGATTGTGGGGGGGTCGTTCTCCCAGTCTCAGTCTTCTGGCTGAGGAGGCTATTAAAGACTGAGGTAAAGATAAGGCATTAAGCACCTCAGCCTTTTCCTCATCATTTGCTGCCATGTTTCCTCCTGTGTGTAGCAGGGGATGGAGACTCTCCCTGGTCTTTCTTTTGCTGCTCATATACTTATAGAAACATTTCTTGTTGTCCTTGATTGCTGAAGCCAGATTAATTTCTAGCTGGGCTTTAGACCTCCTGATTTCTGCCCTGCATAGCCTCACAGCATCTTTGTAATCACTGTGAGTGGCTAGCCCCTTCTTCCAAAGGCTGTAAACTCTCCTTTTCTCCCTGAGTTGCAGACAAAGCTCCCTTTTCAGCCAGGGTGGTCTTCTCTGTGGCCAGCTTCTCTTAGAGCACCTGGTGACTGCCTGCTCCTGAGCCATTAACACTTCCTTCTTAGAGAGTGCCCAGCCTTCCTGGACCCCTGTACCCTTCAGGACCATCTCCCAAGGGATCCTTTCAAGCAGGTGCCGAAGCAAGACAAAGTCAGCCCTTTGGATGTCCAGGATGGCAGTTCTACTTAGCTTTCTCCTGGCCTCTCTAAGAATAGAGAACTCATTTTTTATTTTGTGATTGCTGTGCCCTAGTTGGCCTCCAACTGCCACATCATCCGTCAATATGTTGCTATAAGTAAATAATTTGCAAGGAAAGTGGGCATTTCTCTGTATCAGCTGGCCTGGAGGGGGCAGGTGGCTCTTCCCAGCAGAAGCAGGCATTATCCATCCCCTTGCAGGGGCAAGAGGGCAAATATGGCTCTCCAGGGTGCTTTATCCACCCCAGGTCTCCTCCTTCCTTCCTCCTATCCCATAGAAGGAGCAGCCTTAGGGTGAAGTTCAACCTCAGTGCTGAGAAACGTTCCATCAGCGGCACACTGCCTATCTTTAGGACGCAGCAGGTATAAAACCAGGTTGCTTACACATCTTGCTGCCAGTCCCTTCTACTCCCCCAGAGTATAGAGGTTTTTTTCACCACTAATGAATTAAATCAACTTTTTGCTGCTTAAGAAGCAAATCCAACTGCTTATTAAAGAGGGCTTCTGGACTTGTTTATTGGTATTTTTTCCTAATGAAGGATACATATAATCTCCAGTGTTATCCTGATTCTTTACCATTATCTTCATAATATAACCTAGTTCTTCACCTGTTCCCATCAAGCCTGTAGCAGAAGTTGGTTTCCATTGAGAGACACAAGACTGGTTGGCATTACCAAGGTGTGTCCAGCTAAGATGACTGATTACCTAGAGATGTAGCCAATTACTGTGAGTATTAGAGATGGGGAAGACCCAGCAGTGCAGTCCTGTGTTTTTGTGCTTTGTTCTCTGAAATGTGTCTTTCCAGACCTGTGGCAGCAGTAATATAGCCACAGGTTATCATTCACATTAGCGGATCTATTTGTGTTTAGCTCATCACTGCAGAAGATACCTGTGCTCTGCCCAAAATTAGCCTCAATCACAAGCTGAAATGCATGTTATTCAGTGGTTTAACCTCTGAGGTAAGCTTTAGTCCTGGTGCAGAAAAGCCTTACTCCTCTTCCAACATTATGGTCGCATTTTGTTAGTGTATGTTTTGATGATGCTTTGTGCTGAATGAACATGCGATTCTTTCTCAGCCAGTTGTGTTGTTGATTGTGGGGTAGTTTATCTGGCCTTGAAGGATTTGGTGATACGAGCCTTGGGGTGACTTTTATCTCTCATTTCTGCAAAGAGAGCTTGTAGTAAGCCAGATTGTGGAATCCAGGGCCTGAACTCTTTATCTCTGGCCAGAAAACTGCAGAAAGAATGTGGTTTAACTGTGTAATATCCACGTATCCTGAGTTTGATTTTTTTTGCAGCACATCTAGCACAGCACCTAAATTTGCTCAAGTAGGGTCAGGTAAATGTTACTTGCCCTGTGTTTTTAGAAGCTAGGTGAAATCAGGCTACTGAAGTGGATGAGATTTTCCTACTAATTTAATTTGAAACAGAGGTTACCAGTGCATATTTACCTGATGGTATTTAACGAGCTAAAGGCAACCACGGGAGTAAAGGATTGGAGCAGGTAGCACAGGTCAGGCTCCTTGTTTAACATTTTCTTTGCAACATTGCAGATCCCACTGCTTCTCTGCTGTTTTTTCTTTCTTGACTGGTAGGAGACATATCACTGAATGTGCTTCAACTTTAGTAAAAGATAAACTGAGCATTTACAAAATACAACTGGTTTTAACGCCTGTGATAGTGTTTGGTTTGTCTCTGCTCATTTGGCTGCCGTGCAGTACCCACTAGATGGTGCTGATTTCCCTGTCAGAAATATGCTTCATGTTTAATAGCAGAGTCATTTTCTTTGTATCACAGACCACAACAGAATTCATGCAACTGATGTTCTACATGCCGTTTGGTACCTTACTACTCAGCCCATCCCAGGACTCCCAACTGTCATTAATGATCACGGGTCAGCAAGCGATTCAGGTATGTTTAAATGTGCAAGTATATATGTTGTATTTTTAAAGTTTTTGTTACGAAATTTTCTGCAAGACAACAATTGAGTATTGCACGCAGTACTCGTTGACTTTTAAGTTCAGTAGCACCTTGGATGTTGAAGGTGTTCAGGTATGTTTGTGTAACTTTGAAGAGAATGGAATTGGTCCTCCAAAACCTAATACTTTACATTTAACGATCTGTGAATGCAAGCCTTTGTGGTCATATGTAACAGATAATTGTTAGCATTTGATTTTTACAATAGCTTTTCTCCTAGGGAAACCGTATTAGTAGTGCTTTTCAATGCTGCTTCAGAAGCAGTGTAGACTTTTAAATCCTCAAACCCTGCATTGTTTTGCTGTTATAAAACTTCTAGGGCATGCAGGTAGTGCCATGCACTTGCCACTGCTTGGCTGTGGTGAAGTGTTGCTTTGCCTTTCCTAACTGTCTCCGAAGAAGGAGACTTGTTACCATTTTGCAGCTAGTTTGCAAGACCACTCATCTGCTGGTTTATGATTGCTCCTTACAGGAAGCTGTTCTTATTGCATCTTTATATTTTCTCCAGCTTCAGCTGTAGCAACTAGAAGACCTGTCTGTATTTTGTGAGAGCTCTGAGGGAGTTACTGGAAAAACAGGAGTTTGTTATGCAGAAACCACTTCCATTTCTGCTTTTCTTGGTGGTTCTGCTTTTCTTGGTTTGTGTGGCACATATATATAATTTGTGAAACTCTTCAGGATTGTGTGCGTTATTGCACTGGATCACGTGCATAGTATCAGAAAGCACTGAGGTTGGGATGTGTTTACTCTTATGTATTGTAAATTTGCTCCTTCTCTTATTGCTTTGTTACTTCTATCTGTTTCAGTAAGTCACTGAAAAAGTGGTGAGGATTTTTTTTTTAGATGTATTTATTTCTGCTCAGATTCTGACAGTGGAATCACTCACGGCCATATGGGTTATGTGTTTTCGAAGACATACACACCTACAGATGACAGCTACGGATGCCTAGCTGGCAACATCCCTGCCCTTGAATTAATGGCTCTTTATGTAGCTGCAGCCATGCATGATTATGATCATCCAGGAAGGACCAATGCCTTTTTGGTAGCAACAAGTGCTCCTCAGGTAAATAAATCTCAACCAGCATTGTTGTTAAATTTGGAAGGTCTTTGGTAACAGCTTCTCCTTGCCAGTGGTGCCTGTGGTTTCCATTAAGCACAAGTCTACCAAATATTTTGAAACAGCTTATCAGAGTGACAGAAATAATCACTTTGCTTGGGGATTATCAGTAAGAGTCTTCTTGCACACCCTCAGTACCCTCTAGTTAGTAGAGCTGTTAAGAAAGGTACTGATAAAATGACTCAGTGAAGGAGAGGCTAATGATCTGCTGACTGATAGAGAATCTGTAACTGTGAAATAAGGGAAGAATTATTCTACTCAGTAAGGCACAGAGGATTAAAATAAAATAAAAATACAACTGTATAGTTGAGAGTGTGCCATGCAAATTTATGTGCGATCATAACTTATTTTTCATTGTTCCTGTGGAATATGAGCAGCTGCAGTCTTTTATGAATGTATTTTTACACTATGCATCTATCAGGGCAGGGGAGCAGAGTGTGGTGTAAAATAATCTCAGTTTTATAAACAAAGAATTGAGACTTACCTAAGTTTACACAGAACTTGCTGCCAATGCTGGGAGTTGAATTCAGCACTTCTGAGTCACTGTTTATTGGCTTAATTATGAGATCATGTTTCTTTACTTTACATCACTGACCTAACTGGCTTCAGCATACTGTGCTGAAAAGTATTTCTGTGAACAAAAGAAAAAAAGATAGCTTAATGGTGAGAAGTCAGGTAGGGATGCAGGAATTCTAGATTTACTCCCCAACTTGGATCCAGACTTCCTCTCTCACCAAGAGCAAGTCACCTGAACTTGCTCTATATCAGTTTCTGTCTATAAACTGATAGTAATACTTTTCATCCTTGCCACATCTTTCTGTGATCGAGAACTTTGATACCAGGTAGACATATGCTGTCCTTAAATCTGTTTTTAAGAAATTGAGTGCTCTAGCTTTGTGTTTGTAAAAATCGACAAAGTAAGTTAGATGATTAGCCTTAATGTATTGTCCCTATGGGAAAAATTCAAATTCTTCTTGTTACTTTTGGGGGTTTTGGCTTTGGTCTGTTGTTTGTTTGGTGTTTTTTTGTTTGGGGTGTTTTGTGGTTTTTGTTTTTTTTAATCTGGTATCATCTGAAATTTGCAGAACTTGTATTTGACATCTAGTTTTTTTCCCTTTCATGACTAGCTATATCAGCTTCTGGTAATGATAAAGTGCTGTTGTCTTAAAAATCTGCCCTCAGGTGCTGGACCTGGGTGGCAGAATATATTTGTTGCAAATGCTTACTGTGCAGTTAGGCAAGATGGGCTGTGAAGCTGAGTTGCTTCAGCAGCCCATTCTCTGGGGTAAAGAATAGATTCTGTACTTTAGGATAGGACTGAATGTCTTCATCTCTAGATGACCGAAAAATATAATTGAAGTAAAAAGCCACTGGAACATATGTGTATATATTTCTGTAAAAAGTTACAAAACTTGTATCTATTTTACATAGAAACATATTTCCGAGAGCTTTTCTTTCCATAAACCAAATTGTCAAAAGACTGATTGCTGCTGAAGTGGAGAGATTTCCTGGATGGTTGTTGTCCCCTAAAGTCCACTTTCTAGATCTTTCTTTAGTTTCTGAATGGAATTGCCATTACTATGAGAGTTATACATATTGTTTCAGTAAAGATTTAATCAATTTTGGATTTTAGCATTGAGAAATCTGTCAGGCTGAATGTGTGTCATCAGGTTGCGAAATGGGAATTTCACTTGTTTCTGTGTTTGGAATCAGTCCAATATGGACAGAATTGCCAGGTACAAACACCAAAGATGACAATACCCATTAAGTAAAGTTAGTTCTGAGAAACCGGGAAGCACATACCTATATTATACTAGTCATTAATTTGTGGTCTGAAACAGAATAATCTATTGTCATACGATGAAGTTCAGTCAGGAATTGAAGAACCTTGAGCATGAAAGACCCATATTTTTCAAATCAGTCTTCCACTAAATCTTCACCATCACAGTAATTCAGGTGTCTTCTATTAGCCCTGCCAAAATCACATCTTCAAACCTCAAGAAATTCTTTAACAAAAAAAACCCAAACAAATCAGCCAAACCTGAAGCTCCCTCCATGCATCATGCCCACATCGTTCTCTTCTCTGCATTGCAGTGTTTCTTTTGCTAAGAGGTTTCTTAGCTTTCAGTTGCCTGCTTTGTTTTCACAGGCAGTGCTGTACAACGACCGCTCCGTCCTGGAGAATCACCATGCTGCTGCTGCCTGGAACCTTTTCATGTCGAGGCCAGAGTACAACTTCCTGGTCAATCTTGACCACGTGGAGTTCAAGCACTTCCGCTTCCTCGTCATTGAGGCAATTTTGGCTACTGACCTGAAGAAACACTTTGATTTCGTTGCCAAATTCAATGCCAAGGTAAGATAATTGATTCAAGTTTCTGGTGAATGGTCAGGAAAGACTGTGGGGCTTGGTAGCATCACAGTGAAAATGCTTCTTGGAAGATGTCACGGAAAGATCACATTTGTTTGTTTTCCTAGGAAATGCTTTCAAACAGGCACATAATTTACTAAATAGGAATTTCTCATAATTTATCTCAATGTTAATTGTTTTGAACTTATTTTTCTTTTTACATATTGCTTTACAGCTGATTGTAAATTCCGACCTTGGGTTAGCTCACCTGCTTACACTTGTGATTTTGTTAAATAGCTAAATATACTATAAGATATCCCAGAGCAGATCTTCCTCTGTGGATGCATCCTTTTATTCAGGATTACTGTCATGTTTTTGGGTTTGTTTTTTTTCTGTCTACTAGGTGAATGATGATGTTGGAATTGACTGGACTAATGAGAATGACCGCTTGCTGGTTTGCCAAATGTGCATCAAACTGGCTGACATAAATGGGCCTGCAAAATGCAAAGATTTGCATCTACAGTGGACAGAAGGCATTGTCAATGAGTTTTATGAACAGGTAAATAAATTCATGTCCAAAGTGAAATCTGCTGGTTGCATGGCTTGTATTAAACAGTCCTGCAGCATACTAGTACTGGTGATGAGTGCAAATCACAGAGAACAGGGGTGAAGAGGATGGCTAGAGTTATACTAGTCCATCCTTTTGAGAGATCAGTGACTTCATTTGTCACTGAAGCTTCTGATGTGTCCTTAAAGACCTCTGATGATGGGTTTTCTACAGGCTTAACTGTTCCACTCTGGCACTATCCTTACAGTGGACATGGTGAACAAGTGTTCCCTTCCTCTTTTTTTTTCTGTTTGCAGTCATCATGTCTCCCTTTCAGTCTTCTTCAGTGAAAACTGTCTTTTCTTCCTTGCTTCTGCTTCAGATATCAGCTGGTTCTCATTGCTCTCCTCTGAAGTCACTCAACGTGGCTTACACTTTTATTGACATGTTGTCTCCAAAACTGGACACAACATCCTTGTTGAGATAATCTAAACAGAGCAGAGGAGTTATTTTAGCTTCCCTGTGGGCCATGTCTCTGTTCACATACACATAACCTTTATATACTGAGCACAGTTGTAACATTGGCTTTCAGTTTATCACACATTAACCATATCTGTTCCCTACACACTAATCCTGACCCATACTTTATTTTTTAAGACAACATTCCCAGCTTTCAGGAGGTCTGCCAGTACAACTGCGCTAATTATACAGGGGTCAGCTGATGGTAGCACGAAGAAGGAGGACAGCCACAGTTTGATTTATAAAGACCTGGGAATACAGCCAGGCACTGGTCCTCTCCTGCCAGGTGTAAGGGAGCTCTTAATTGAACCTTTTCTCATCGTAGCCTATTTAGCCCTGCTGAGTGGAAGGGACGGGGCTGTTCCCACACTATTCCTCTGTTTCCTGAGTGGGAACATATTTTGAATGTGCTGATTAGACTATACTCCACATCCTGTCTTTTCAAGAGGAAGCAAGCAGGCTCAATCACTGAACCAGACACCACACAGCCTTCTCAGGGAGGCTGTGCAGTAACCTGATGTTACAGATTAATACCCTTTAAATCCTTTTCATCTTCCCTTAAATTTACTGTACTTACAGTTTGGAAAAAAAAGAAACAGGATTTGCTACTGCTGCTGCTGCCTTCTGGAGTATGTTAAGAAATGGGAAAAGGGACAAAAATCAGACACTGACCTGAAGCTCCTTCACTTATTTTGGATTTCTTGAGAAAAAGAAAGAACAATGACACTTTCATATATTGCATGTAGTTGGTTCCATTTTTCTTCCTTCATCTCCCAAATTTTCACTCAGGAAACGCTTTTCTTCATATTTGACTATTTTCATTACAACTCTCCCAACAAATAATACTTCACTTAATTCTGGTGATGATCACAGCTTATGTGGGTGACTATTGCATGCAGACAAAATCAGATATATGATAGTCTCTCATTCAACATAACTAATGTCGGAGGGCAGTAAGTGCTCCAGTACGCTAATACTGTCAAAGTGCTAGATACTGAGCTCTGAATCAAGCCTGGGAGGAACACATGTGGAAGGATGCTGTGTAATCTGTTTCACAGTAGGAATCTCCTTTATTTTCCATCAGTCAGAAGGGTGTGCTATTGATGTTTTCATGCTCTTGGAAGCTGCTCTAAAGGACTCTTGGAGGTTATCTTTCCTATATTGCTGTAATTACAAAAATATACGTTTGAGATTTATCCTCTGCAAAATTTAATTTGGAATAACAAATGTATTATCTTTGTTAATGGCATTCCTTTTGGCATGGGGATTGTGGGCAAATGTATTTGAACTCTTGGCTTGCAAATTCCAGGAGATCAGGTAGTCAGTAAGATATTAGGGGGGTTTGGTTTTGGTTTTTTATTTTAATAGAGGGTGTGTATTCAGTGTATTGAGAAACTAATACATCCCAGGGGGTTTACTGTTTTGGTGGTTCTTTGCATGGCGTGAGTTGCCATGCTGACAGGATATTGATGGAACTGAAACCAGAGAAGTAACATTTTCTTCCTAGGACTTACTTTTGACATTAAGGAAGATAAGCTAGTCTCAATTTATTTAACCTAGGTTAAAATTTGTTTTTCTTTAACGTAATATGCTATGAGAGGTGTATCAAGCCATCTTCACTATACTTTTGATCATCAGGTTTTTTTCTCCATTTTCTCATTTCTAAAAAGTAGAATTTTATGGGAAGTTTGAATTTCCCTAGAATTGTTATCAAAAAGCATACACATGTACATTCAACCTATGCTGTGAAAATATCTTTCTTGAATTTCCTTTAATAAACACCAATTCCTATGAAGAATATAAGGCCTATATAAATAAAAGCTCCTTATTAAAAATGTATTACATAGAAACATTGAAAATCCTGTGTCTTATTGTTGCAGTATGTCTCCTTTTCTTCCTTCCACATGGTCAGTGTACTTATTTGAAGACAGGTTAGGCATATTAAAAAGGATGAAAAAAAACGACTACAGCATGTTCCATATAATAAATCATGTTTTAACAGAACATGAAAAAAGAACTTGTAAACATTTCAGCAGTCAGCTTTCTTCCCACTACTGCCAGCTGAAAACCAGGAAATCTCAGATGCGTTACTGTAAAGAAGAGTGAGCTGCCACCTCTTCTTAATTTGCTTGCGATTTTGAGAATTGATGGCATGTTTCAGTGTTTTGTTAAAACTAATATTTTGCATTTAATGATTGAACATAACATTTTGGGGTAGGTTATTATAAAAATAATGAAACAAAACACAAGGAAATGAGACATTTGTTGTACATGCTTCAAAATATAACTCTCATTCTTTGACTTTCCCAGATATCAACAGAGTATTGACCAGATACATTGTCTGTGACTTGTGGAAAATTTAGGTTACAAGGAGGTAAACTCAGGCAATCTGTAGGGTAATGTAAACTGAAAATAGCTCTCCAAATTCTAATCTATATTCTCAAGTATAGATCTCTGTATTGTATTAAAACATGAATTTGCATATCAGGCTTGATTAAGGGGATGAGATTTTTTTTCTTAGGGAGGTAGCATCCAGTCTTGACATGTCTACTCAGCTGAAAACTCACTGATATCACCAGAAGCTGTGCTGTGATAGGGATGAATGAGTATATCAGACTTGGTTCTGCTAGAGTTTTACTTTCTTTTACATCATAAGAGGAGGGAGAAAAAAGTCTTCCTATCACTCCCCTCTACCCTCTCTCCCCAAGAAAATCTAGCAAAAAGCTTTATGAGAAAGATTACTGCTTCTGAGTAACTCCTGCTTTCATAGGGATCATTCTAATAATCCCAGGAAACAAGTACTTATGACCCAAATCCAAGAGGACCTCTTCATGTTATGTATAGTAAGGACAAAATTAATAAGAAAACTAGTTCAATGAGGTAGCCCTTGCCTGTAGAAGTTCAGCCTTGTTCCCTGCAAACAGGTGGCTGACTACAAGGTTGTTGTGAGCTAACAATCACAAAATCAGAAGGTATTTTTTGAAAATAATGTGAAGAAAGATAGAAAACAAGAACGTTCATATTTTCACACCCACAGTGTAAAGTACAGGACAAAGGGCAGTGGGCTTCATTTTGCACAGTCCATCAACTAACATCCTTGTTAAATTCACATTATTGATAGTGGGTCTTCTTACAAGAAAACAGCTGTATCTTTGATTAACCATTTGATGTGATGGCACTGTAGTAATGTGCTGGCGTGCTATGAAAATGGCATTAGAGATGAATTATTTTTCTTTCATCATTTTTAATTGTTTTGATGTGCATTACTCCTTTTTTGTGACATGGGTTTGTTTCATTTACTTCAGAGAAATTACAGCTATTTTTCATCTCCAGGGTGATGAAGAGGCTAGCCTGGGTTTGCCAATCAGTCCTTTCATGGATCGCTCTGCTCCTCAGCTGGCACACCTTCAGGAATCTTTCATCACTCACATTGTGGGACCACTATGTAACTCCTATGACTCAGCGGGGCTGATGCCGGGAAAATGGATAGAAGATAGTGATGAATCAGGAGACACTGATGAGCAGGAAGAGGAAGAAGCAGCAGAAATGGAAACTTGTGAAAATGCTGAATCCAGTGAGTTGTTCACACATATTTTTCAACAGAGCAAGTTCCATATTATGACCAAAAGCTAAGCGGCCATACTGTAAAAGTATAGAGACTGTGAGCTGGTCAGGTTCAACATGGGCCTCTCCAGAGTTACAGTGATTTAGTGCTGTCCTTGGTGAGGCTGGCATGTAGCCAGTTATGTAGGTAAAAGAGACACTCTATGGTTTCAGGGCTGATACACATTGCTGTTCATATCTACTACTCTTTTCGACCTTCAGTTGAGGTATCTGGTGGTGGATCATCCATCTGTGCATGAGGGCTTTTTAGACTATTTCAGCACTGATTTTTGTAGACTGTAGTAATTTCAGTTGAAGAAGGGATGGTTGGGAGAAGATTTTTCGAGGAAAGCAGTTGTCATTTCCATGAGTTAGCATGATATACAGGAATAATAGAATGAGGCTCTGAGATGCTGATGCAGTAAAAGAGTTTTTAGCAATGGAAGTACTTTAATGCAGATCACTTCAAGGTAATGGATGGAGAAGAGTGGGGAGAGAATTGGCACTGAGCATTGCTGTGTTGTGTGCAGCTGTGTCACTTGCCTCTTCTGGCTAATCAGTAATTAAACCTGATAGTCTCTTGCCTCTTCTCCAGAAGGGCAACAGTACTGACATTTGTCATGCTGAGAGGAAAACATTTTACCTTGAAAGGAGATCTCAAGAACTCTTTTTTTTTAAGACAAAAGGATACAACTATAGGCCTGGGTTTTTTTACCAGTTTAACACTGCAGGCATCATGTTTTTCTCGTGTTCCTCCTCCCTCTGGATTTCCTACTACTGTTCTTTTATTTCCTTCCTCCAGGTCATCTTTTCTCCCTCCCCTATATGTAATCCTTCTAGAAAGCACCAGCCTTAAGTGCACTAATGAGATACTGATACACAGCTTCTTCTCTTAACAGCCTCACTTTTTCTGTCACACACACTTTCATGTCCTACTGAATATCATCCCTCTCTTCTGTTGGAGAAGCTGAGAAGCATAAAGATGTGATGATTACAATTAGTCACATAAGGATGTGGGCCTAAAATCTATGTCTCCTGATGTGTAGAACTGAACTTTTATCTCTTATAAGATCCAGGGGTATATGGTTTGTATTAAGAAATCACTGTGGTTGTTCACACACATACTTGTGCATATTTTAAGTTTAGCAGGTTCACATGCATAAAAAACGTTGCTAAGAACAGCAAACATTAAGTAATACAGCACACAGAGGTTTATGATCTATCTGCTCTGTAATAGCAGGCAGAGCCATATGTTTCTGTGGCAGACTAGCATTTATGGAATTGCCTACCACGGGGAAAAGCATTATGTGACTGGTAACCAACATAGATGCCAAAGCCTGAAACTAATATTGCTGTATTAAAAAGTAAGATGAAGTATGTTCTCATTTATCCATTGAGTGTCTAAACTTACTTTGAAATCCTGAGTTTCCTTTCACCTCATTTCCGTATTCATTTATGTTCTGTATCACTGCTAGCCAAGTCCAACAATGATGTGAAAAAACAGACCATTATTAACCCTTGTTACATTGAAAACAGACCTTTTTTTTTCCTTGTCTGTTTTCTTTTTCACATTCAACTCCATGACAGTACTTCACTATCCAACCTGGTGCTTTTAGGTTGTTGATCTTTTTCAGAACCTTAAAAATGAATGTTTCAGAAGTTTCAAAATATCCAAACAATTTATCTGTACTTCCTTCTTGCCAAATGTGGGGTGCTCATCTTCTCAGTCATACCAACATGTTACGAACTGCTTTCTTCTTGTTCCCTAAATTCTCTGTGACTGTGTGGATTTGAATCAGGATTCTACAGCATCTTTTGTGTCAATACAGGGGTCTTTTACAGGGTGTTAGAAATTTATACCTGTGATCACAAAATTTTGGATGTTCTAAACTTTCTCAGTGAAACAAAATAAGAGGTTGAGATGTAAGATGCATAGATAGTTGTAAGATGTTGGTGAAGATCTTTTTCTTGATGAAAATGCCTTTTAGGCAGGTAGAAATGTAATTGCAGCAGAAAACACTTCACATAGGGCCTGATAATTCACTATAGCAATTGAGATAAATTTAAAAGTTCTAAAACCTTAAGGTAGGTTAAAATAATTTTTGTTATTATACAGGAGCATGTAATTCCCCCCAGATTCTGATGCAAGTGTAGGAATTAAACACGCTCAGTCTTTAGTGATTCAGACAGATTTTCACACCACAGCAAGTGCTCACTGGTGTTTGCAGAGAGCAGCAAGATGCGGGGTCACCTGGGAAACACAGGAGAGAATGTACTGCTGCAGCATTGGCAGGGTAGAGGCTTCTTATTAGTGCTAAACCTGAAGGTTTCCTACAGGGAACCAAGGGCTTTCTAATGAAGGATTGAGTTGGATTTGGTCTGTGCTCAGTGAAAAGTTCTTTGTTTCCAGTTCAAAAGCTTCAAGGGCTAAACGTTTTGGATCCTGACACAGGCATACTTTAGGCAACCTGCAAATACTAATCCACGCAAATTTATTTGGTACAAAACATTCCTCTACGTCACCTTCTTTACAAATAAATCAGCAGTTGTCTTTGGAGGAGTTGTTATTTCAGTTCTGTGACTGCTATTGCCACAGTTAATGACCAGAGAAAATTTTCAAGCTTTGTACTGTTCAGAAGTTGACAATCTGTGTTGGACAGACTATACTGATGCAGAAAAGAACAGACAACAAAACACTTGTAGTGCAGCTGTGTCAGAAGCCATGAGAACTACCAGTGGCAAAACCATTTTATAGGTTAAAAGCAGGGGACTGATGCTTCAAACCCAAAGAGAAGTAAGTTCCCTGATCATATTTGGCTATATGACTGCTTCTTCCGTGGTTAAACTCCACTGTCAAAGCAATGTTGTGCAAAGGCTTTAAGGTCATCTCCACTGCAATGGTGGAGTGGTAAATCTCTGACTTTGAAAAGGGAACGTAGGAAAAAGGGTTTCCTCCTTTGATTATTAATGTTTGCTCATTCATTATCCTTCTGCAGCTCAGATCAGAGGTAAAATGTAGAGAAAGCAAAATCAGGATTTTTTTTTTTCTAGGGCAATCAGCAGGGGTCCAGTGGGGGTGGTGCATAGAATTTAATGTGTGTTATGGAATAGGTTGATCAGAGTCTTCAAGTATGTGATACAAAAAAATGAGTAGAAACAGCTTAGCAACATGTTTTATGCATAATCATTCACGCAGTAGATATCTCTGTGAACTGCACAGTCAGGGACAGCATGTGACCTGTGATAGGAAGAAGCTGGGGCTCAAACTGCAGGAAACCACTTTGCTTTCCTGGAGGTCTGGAGAGGTATAGCTTTCTGAATTTTATGTTTAAGTTTGTGGTTTTAAAAATCTGCTGGTGCAGTTTCTGTATGTTATAGTACACCCTGTACGCTTCCTACATTTTCGAATCCCTTTTACTCCTTCTCTCACAGAAGACAGTATGTTAATGTCATGGTATTTTACAGGAAAGAAGAAGTTCAAGAGGAGGAAAATCTACTGTCAGATCACTCAGCACCTGCTTCAGAACCATAAAATGTGGAAGAAAGTAATTGAGGATGAAGAGAGGTTAGCTGGGACAGAGAAGCAAGGCGTGGAGCAATCCACACTGCACCAATCTTCAGAACAAATCCAGGCCATCAGGGAAGAGGAGGAGGAGAAAGGGAAGCCCAAGAGGGGTGAAGAGGAGAACACAACTGTAGAACCAAACCAATGACAATATTTACAGCAGTATTTAAGACAGTTTGACTTGTGCACAGACTCCTTCTCAAGCCAGCACAGCATTTAGACACAACACTGTAGAAGTATGGGATAATGCGCCTACAGATGTTTAATTTGTTTCTCTTTCCTTTATATGGCGAGGTACATTGTTTAAACTTCTATGCTCAAGGAAGCTTTCACACTGCAACACCGGCTTTTACAGACTTTCTTTAAAGAGATTTGAGAGTGGGTGGAATTATATAAATATAGATATAGATAGATATATATATATATAGCCGGGGTTATTGGCTGCTCACTTCAGCAAAAGACATTTAATGATATATTATGGTCACTGTGATATTTACAGAAGAAAGTTATCTAAGGAAATGCTGCTTCTAAAGCACATTTGCAGTTAACAGTAAGGTACCAGTTAAGTAGCTTTTGCTCTTAATGCTGAGGGATAAAAGTTCCAAAGCTTTATATGAATGCTGATACATCCTGCCAACATACATGTGTGCGTGAGGGGGCTTGTTTGCAAGTGTAAGTGGATGTAAGGTAATATAGCGTAGTTTGAGTTCTTACTACACTGGCTGTAGCACAGGGCCCAATACACAACAAACAGAAGCCCTGAATTTTAGAGAATTTGTACCCACAAGGGAACCGGAGCTAATTCTGAGGATCTTTGCGTTCCCCATAGCCCTCCAGGTGCCAGGTCGCAGTTGGCACTCTGGCTGCAGGCAGCAGCAGCCTTTCGGCCTGGCCCCACCCGGCTCTGCGGGCTCCTCCTCCTCTTCCTCGGCACTTCCCAGGTTGCTGGCGAAAGGGGTGTGCCAGGAACTTTATTTTCCAAAGGGGTTTCCAAGGGTCTGTGAGGCGCGCTGTCTGTTCCCCTTGAGAGGACGTGGCCCTCTGTACACTTCTGAGCGGGCGAAAGGCTCCGTGGGGCAGGGGGTGTGTTTGGGCAGGAGAGAGCGGAGCAAATGTGCATACATTCTCAGAAACTAGAGGCAAGCTGTCATCTTCCTACCCTAACCTTACACCTTTGTGCATCCGTGGCCAAATATATCATTTAAGAACATAGCTAAACTACGTCTCTGGAGAGCAAAAGAAGGGGAGTGTGGGGGCCATGCCCTTCCTAAGAATAAAAGGCAAATGATGCGTTAGGAGAGGCGTGGGGAACACGTGCCAGTCCTGCATTGGCTGGACACTCACATGTCTCAGCAACCACTCGCGTGAGCTTCAGAGAACTTGGATTTTTCAGTGTGAGGTGCTGGATGGAAGCAGTTTGTTCCTGGCATTATGCTGAGAAGCAGCATGTTGGATTGTGGGATTCCACCAATTTTTTTGTTGTTGTTGGATTGTTGGATTCCACCTTTTTTTTTTTTTTTTTTTTTTTTTTTTTTTTTTTTTTTTTTTTTTTTTTTAAGAGAAAGGAAAAGATCGGGCCTGTGAGAAGAGCAGATTTTTTCGTTTGTTTGTTTCTGTTTATTTGTTTTCTCTGTTGTTTATGCTGTGAGCCAAATGTCTATTTAAAAGGTTGGATATTCACTTTCAATATTTTATTTCACAATATTATATTTGTTAATGATTAGTTATCTAAATGTAAATATGGAAAAAATTTTATGGGTTCCTGTAGATAATGATATCTTTAAGAAAAGAAAGAAAAAGAAAAAAAGGAAAAGGTTTTTTGTAAAGGTAATTTTTTAAAAAATAAATACAAAAACATTTTTATACAGTGTAGCCATTTCCAAACTTATATAAAGTCTTGAGTAATTTGTATAGACCCTTCTGGGAAGCCAGTGGTCTACAGGATCAAGGCTTTAAAATATTAATGTTCTCTGGGACTGGCAGTACCAACCAGTACCACACAATTTAGAGTTTTGTTCCCACAAAAAGAATTATAAAGTTGAGTATCTCTCAAAAATCATTTGACTACATTTGCTTTTAATATTTTGATCCTGCAGCCCCTTGCCAAGAAGAGGTTTGCCTGTGTAAGAATGCTTGTGAAAGGAAGATTTTGTAGAAGTCCTTTCTATATTAAATTTCTGACATTGCATCCATCACTTTTTGCTATTATTATGCATTCACCATATTTCATAATCCTATTGATACCTTCCCAAAAATGCTGGAAAACATTCTTTGTCAAAGCCAGTCACCATGTGTGTTATCACTTCAGAGTTTCTTTTTGCTTTGCATTTCCGTTAGAGCAAGTTTTTGCTGAAAACAGGATTTTGATTTCTTACAGGTTGCATTTGCCTGATACTGTCCCATCCTACTCTTACCAGTAGAGAAGGCATTTGCCTTTTGACAGTGTCTCTAGAACATGGCTCTGAATGCTCTTATCAGCAGAAATATTTAGTAACTGTTTTTCAATGAAATCATAAAAACAAAGATCCAAATTGCACTGATATTTTAAAGGGAAAGGATATAGCAGAATTCATTCAAAAGAAAGATGTCTCCAAGATCTCAGCAAGTCTCCACCAATTCCAACTTGCACTGTTTTTACACCTCTTCAGTCACTTTGATTAACTATTTTACTTGGGGGTTTCTTGTACAAGTCGTATGCATAATTTATAGTATGAGAAGAATTGAATATGCCTCATTCTGTCCTTTAAAATTAAACTTACAGAGATGCTTTAAAATGTCACATCTCCAAGCACTTTTTTCTTCATTTTCAGTGAATGATCACTGGGACTGGGATTTTTTTCTTGATTTTTATATTGCCTTTGCTAGAAGAAGAAAAAAAAAGTATTGAAGAAAGTGTTAGTGGATGTCCAGTTGGTAAAATTACAAAGAAGCATTCAAGAATGAAGCAAAATCATGCAAGTGGAGTTCCACGTACTCCTCTAAGCAGGCATACAGAGGGTTGAGCTAAGAAAAATTATACTAAAAATGTGCTGAAATGGGATTGCTATATTCTTTCTAGTCATCATTTTTGGTTGCCATTAGATAAAATCAATGTCACCTTCTAATTTGTTAAGATTTCTTTCTGTATTGCCAGTGCAGCTGTCACAGATTGTTTCTACATTGCTACACAAGCCTGTTTGTGGGTACAGTTTATTAACTCAGGTCTTCTACAGTGAAGGAATTGCTGACAGGCTTAAAATCAGAATGGTTGTTGATTTTATCCAAACTGGAAGGAATACCAGTGAAGAAGTTAAAGTAGCTGGGAGTGATTAACTTGGCAAGAGGTGACTTTTTTTTCACTCCAAATAGATACTAATGAACCCCATTTCTGCAGGTGTCCACTCCTTATGAATCTGATTTTCAAGCTTTGCAGTGCATTTCTGGCAGGCAATGAACAGGAAATTTGTCAGATTGGCTTAAGTATAACACAGAAGAGATTTTATGTCAAACATGTGAATACCATTTTTTTTGCTTTGAAGATTTTTTAGTAGATAATGAAGCAGGTAATTTTTAGGGGCGTTTTATAAAATTTCTAGTCCAAAGGAGGCAAAACTTTTGACCTGTAGTTGCAGTGACCTTTTTGAGGTGAAAATTTGATGGTTTTTCACTTTGTGCAGTGCTTTGGTGTCGCAAACCCCAAATAAATGACAGCCTGTGCAATATTTTGGGGGAAAAAAGAAAAGAAGAATAGTTGTATTCTATCAGCAAAGTGCTCAGATTTCAGGTGGGAAGTTTACAGTGTTGCTATGGGTTTCTGGTATATACAGTATGCAAACAGATTTGTTTGATACTAGAGAAATCAAGCCCGATTTAATCAGTAGTTTTCAGTAACAAAATACTATGTATTTTAGTTTTCAGTTCTTTAAAAGCAAGAAGAGAAAGATTGGACTATTTTTTCCAGTTGGATATTTTGTTTTCTCCACTGTAATTACACTTGGTGACTGATCCTGTTCCCTTCTAGATTAGAAATTTGCTGTTCCCTTAAATAGGGGCCTTTTTGCAGTGCTTACACCACCCACTATAGTGAGAAAAGCACTCTGTCCATCATGTAGCAATCACATATAAACCCTTTTGTCCCCACATTCCCAGTTTGCTTGATAGTCACATGCTGTTTACCATGGAATATACCTTCTCTCATTATGCTTGCATTGCAGAAGGAACACAGGGAAGTAGAGAGTGTGAAAGCCCCAAACTGTTTATTTTAGGAGGAGTCCGAGACTTTAGTTTCCAAGAATCCAAAAATACCCGTGTCTAGAAGTGATAATTTCCACCATGTTCAAAGGGCCATAGTTTACTATTTAATTCTTGAGGGAACCTTGGTGTTTCTTGATTTGTTTTGAGCTAATGTACAGGGCATCTCTGAAAATCATCTTCCTCCTCCAATAGAAAGATAGTGTTTGATGCAGTGTTGCAATCCATGCATCAGAAGTGGGTTGCAAGAATCTACTAGGAAAAAGGGATTCTACTGTGCTCTTGGCAGTTATTTTGAACTCACTTCCTCTGTGAGTGAAACCCTCTACAGAAAGCTGAGGAAATGGCTGTGTGTCGCCAATGGCCTCCCCTGTCACCTTGTGGAGGGTGCTGGCTCTCATAGCGAATGATGGTCACATTCTGGCAGTAAATGGTTCTCAGGGCAGATGGAATTTGAGAATTTCTTAACCATGCAAGGATGGTTTTTCCTGTGAACATGTCTCTGCATCCTCATCAAGTTAAAATCCAAGATTGCAATTGCTCAGGACCTTTCACGTGGATGCATTTGATACTTTTATGCTTAGTGTACTACTGTTAGAAATTCTTAAGATCCTGATGGTCTGAATTTGGAAGGAAGTTAACTCTGCAAATGTTCAGATGGATGCTTCTAAAGCTACCATTTGGCATCTATGCAAATTCTGTATTTTCTGTGCTGGACATTAATTTTCCGTTAGAAAGTTCTCCTAAATCTCTGACTGATTTTTAGATACAAAAAGTTTTCTGAAATTCTGGCCCCATCTTTCTTTCTTCCTTTGGAAATGCCCCAGAAAGTAGAATACGGTGTGGAGAAGCCAAGTATCTTTCCATTGTGTCTATGGTACCATGAGGTCTGCCCAGCCTGTGCCCCAGTTTGGGCACAGTGCCGTGCCCACTGTGAGCTGAGTAGGTGTGGGGTAGCGATCAGTTTGGGTACTCAGCAGCCTGAGCCTGACCAGCTTTTAGTGGGACTTGGGATCTTAGAGAATTTTGGCAGTTTTCAAAATGACTGTTAGACACGTTTGAAAAATTTGCCCGAAAGTATAATGCAGCAAAAGGTTTGCGGTTGGTCCCAGCTGTTACTGACTACTTGTGCAAAGTCTCATTAATTATCTGTCACAGTGTGCTCTGGTGATGGTGAGGGCTTTGCTGCTGCTGAACATGGTTGCAGGTTTGAGTCTGCCCTCTCACTATCTTTCCATAGGCACAGCCAGATGTGCCAGTCAGCACGAGCCCAGGAAGCCCAGCTGTGCCCAGGGCTGCCATCCAGAGAAGGCACAAGGCACCTGACCAGCAAATACCCCAGGGAGATGCACGAGCTGATTCAAGTGTGGGAGAGGCAACATAGATGTGCTGTGGTTCATTCTAGAGCTGAGCTATCTGATGGACATAGTGTTCAGTAGGTTGGGAGGGCAGCAGTGGTAGTCTGTGGCTTTTTTTTTTCCTCTGAAATAAGTTTTTGACTGTTGGAAAACCTTTAATACATAAACACATAATATTTGCTATTATTTTTGCAAGTACGGTTATAGTTGAGATGTTTCAGCATGATGTGTTTAATGAAGAAAGGTTTCAATTTAAGGATGAGAATGAGAATTTCTTGGGTGTCCCATGGCCTCATGGGCAGATTAGATCAAGGCACATGCCCAGAGTGGAGACCATGCCTCTTCCAGGTCTGCTGCAGGCACCACAGCTGGGAGGCAGGTACAGAGGGTTGCTTGCACTTCTCAGTCTCGGGCCTGGATGTTGGCCTGAGAATTTGGGTATTCCTCAGCTGTCAGCACAGCGCTGGTGTAATTAATTCTTGAGTTGAGGGGGTTGTAGACATACAGGGAGAAAGTCAAACTGGTAATTTGTAGGAAAGAGAAAAGGAAATTGTAGTCCAGTATGAAACAGACATTATGCAACACACTCAATTTTCCTTTTCTTTCAACATCAAATGTAATCTCACTGGAATTAAGTAACCATGAAGTTTCTGGGAGTTTAATTACTGTTTGATGGTGCAGCTTTAGTCAAAATGGTGGCAACATTAAAGGGAAGATAATTGTTCCCATTAACTAGGGTGAGGAAATCTTTTTTTTATATATATTTTTAGGTGAATCAACAAATAAAGAGTGTATCGGCCTCCTGAAAAAAAAAATGTTGTGTTTTTGAACAGATGGAGGAGTAATTGAAATTAGGTGGCAGTTGTCTTAAGCAATCATTGGAAGATCTAGCAAAAAATACTGATTACTGGAGGCAAACTTTGAATTAGAGCAAAATAACACCCATACTTTTGAGAGCAATTTAGTATGATAAATCTTTCTTTGGATTTCATCACTTCAATTTTAACAAAACAACATTCCTCTGAAGGTAAATCAAAGCACGTTTTTAGGCCCTGATATGGTAGTTATTGAATCCCAGTATTGGAGGGAGCAGCACAAGAGTTATCCTCCATTTACATCCAAATTATGATTTATTCAGAGGCCATTAGTGGGACTCTCCTGGCAGGCAGATGTTCTCTTGAAAAATACATCATGCCTCCTTTTTTGGATGCAGATGTCACCTTCATCAGCACCCACCTGAATTCTTAGGATGATACAAGCTCCTCAGGGGCCTTCAGGCAGAAAGTGAATGTGTATTTCTGGAGAGTCTATTTACACAATGACAAAATGGAGCAAAAGCTTGAGCTAATTAACAATATTTCTTTGATAAAACTGCAACAACAATAAGCATGTGCAGTTTGAAAGCTTGCCAATGTCACTTGAAGTTTATGCAAAAATTTCCCTGCACATGTAAAACTAATTTTTTTGGAAGGTAATGAATTCAGGTAAAACCAACTGGCCTTGACCATGGTCTGTCATGCTGAGGGATATAGTAAACCAGGAAGAATTTTTGACTGAAGGAGTTTAATTCTCCCTCATTAAAGAAAACTTTTATTGGTGCTAGAGGAGGAAAAAAAATTATAATATGTATTTCAGTTGAGCTCTTCGGGTAGCTAGTCCATGCCAGTTGTTTCTTACTTCCAAAGCCATGCTTGTGGTATGTCCAAGGTGTGAAAATGGGACAGCAGGTGAGACTTGTTCTGCTGTGATGGCATACAGAGTCTGTGTGCACCAAGGAGCTCCACTGAAATCTACAGGCATGGAAAGTGGTGTATCCCAGCAGTGAATTCGATGGGGAAACCCAAATATTTGATTTCTGTCTATGTGGAAGCATAAGAGCGGGTATAGAGGCCTTTGTGACAGCTGCAGACCATGTATCACTTTATGATTGAATTCTCTTGTCCTAATTCAAAAACCATAGAAGTCATATCAAATAAGCAAAACACATCATGTGTTGTGGCCCTGGTGAGGCAGGAATGTATTAAATTGCATTTCCTTGGGCTCACCAAGAGAGCTGGTCTTGCACCCTTGGCCTGCGAATGGTGTGGGGTCCTGGGCAGCATGGCAGGGCGCAGGGGGAGGAACTGGTGGGAGATAAAGAACAAATGTCAAATTTTTGAGGGTTGTTGTCAAAGCAGCTGGAGAAATACCTTAAAGTAATGTAATGCAACCCTATACCCACCTCGCCTGGTTTGCTCACAGCGATAGCCTGCAAGGCAGTGGGCTTAGATGCTCTGTTTTTCAACGCTGTCTTCCTTTACCACAGTGAACACTTACAAACAATTAATGTGAATTAGCAATTGCCCTTTGCTTTTAAATATTTATTTAAAGGAGATTGAAGTTTTTGGGTTTTGTTGGGGTTTTTTTCTCCCCTGACTCTAGTTATTTTTCCCCCTGCTTTCATAAAAATTAAAAAAAAAAAAAAAAAAAAAGGTTTGTAATCTGATCAGAGAGAAAAAGGGTTTGCCATGTGCATACCTACTACTTTAGGTAGAAAGCCCATCGTCCTTTTCATAATTCCTGCCTGATTCTGACACATTGTGACAACCTGTATTTGAATGCAAAATTTTAAATTTTAGGTATTTGTAAACCTTAATACAGTGCTGCAGCTGGTATCCTAAAAGATCAAAGACAATGTTAATAACTGCTAAGTAGTGTTGATGGTATTTTAAATATTTCAACCATGTCAGCATACATTTGGTCATTACTTTTCTAAAGTTAAGTCATCTTTTCTTGAGTAATCTACATGAGATATTTGCATGATGAAAAGTAATTTAAATTCACTTTTTAAAAAGATGTGATTCATATGGTAGGTTATGTTTATTTAACAGATTAACATTTTCACTGATGGGTGGCAGTTTTTCTTCTTTTTAGTGCTTTTGATAGAAGAACATCTAGGACAATTTCCAATAGAAACACATTTTGTAATCTTTGCCTCCAGCTGTGGAAGTAGTACCTTTTAAAAATAATTGTTTTCCAGTATGGTTTGGCCATCTGGGTAACAATATGCAAGTATGTATATCACATAAAAGATATGATTAAAAAAAAAAAATCCCATTTTCGTGAAAGCAATCAATAAATTAATCCAGCAAGGTCAAAACCCTTTCTGAATGAAAGTTTTGGGTGTGTTGATATAATTGAAGCACTTGACTCCCCACCAGATTTTGGGGCCAAATCATACAAATTTTGTATTTTCAAATTCACAAAAGGCCGACCAGAGTTTTTTACTTCAGAAAACACTGAGGAATTTGGTCACCTTACATCCTATCCTATGAGATTTGACTCCTGGCCTGGGACCTTGGGACACTGCGCCTTAGACAATTATTTTATGATGCTCATTCAGACTCAGCTCTAGTAGCAAGTTTCCGCAAATCACCCATGAGCTTCAAAATTAATCCCTCCTTGCTTTTTTTCACTTCAAAAGGTGAGAGAAAGTGAGGGGATGTAATTTTATACAGCTGTATTTGAAAAGGGTTTTGTGTACCTTTATAATTCTTTTGAAGCAATATTTTAAAATAAAACTGCCAGCCAAAGTGGCAATGCAGAAAAGTGCCATCTTGTTAGGATTTGTACACACCGGTTTTTAACACAGTGTTCTTTTCACTAAGTACTTCATACGTTAATTTATATTTATATATTGTCAATATTGTTGTAACCAAGCTTCTCCTTTCTAAACACTTCAGGAACAAGGCCTTGTATTTTTAGGTGATTTTCATAAACCGAATAATTCTTTTTCTTTCACTAGTATCTTGCACTTGATACATGTAGCAATACTTAATATATTCTCTTCACAAGTATTTGTTAAGTGATTTAGTTAATGGTTGATAAATGTTTTGTACAAAATAGATTCTGTACAGGAAAAAATCTTTTAGATAAACATTATTTATTTTTACTGTTTTGTAAGTTAGACACTATAATGAAGCTCCTTTTTGCCAGAATTACTGGAAGTGCCTCTTGGTAAAATGTATTATACAGTAAATACGTATTCAAAATTATTAGAAATACTTGTCACAAAATGAACAATGTGGATGTTGCAATGTGAAGACAAATGTACAACATAAATATAATTCTGTGGTATCCTGTTTGCTGTGTTTCTTTATCCTTTATTGAACAAACTTTCTTCCGGTGCCTAGCTTTTAGTTTAAGACCCAGACAACAAATGACCTGTAGCCTCTTCAAACTCTGATTGAAATCCAGTAAAGCTCGTATAATATATTGGATTACCATTTTATCTGCCAGCCCTGCTTGGCATGTGTTAGTGACTCATGCTCACATTTATTGTTATCCCATTACCCACAACTTTTACCAGTAGAATTTTGCACTTTATTTTAGATCACTAATAAATCCATGTTAAATACTGTGTGACTCAACCAATCTGAGGAAGGCCTCCTTATAAACATCTTTCTTTAACGTTGACCAATATTTAAACATCCATCATCTGTGTACTTTTCAATCCGATTAGTATGGACCATACTGATTGTCTATATGTAATGTCATATGTAATATATCTATATTACATGGCACTATTCAGCCATAGTAATGCAGAGTGACTAATGCTTCCAGAGGAAATGAAATGTGTTACCTTAACAGTGTCACAGAAGTAAACTGTTGAAGTGGGACATCTGTAAGTGAAATCAATTTTCTTGCAATTATATTGGTAAGTATGCTGTCATTCTTCAGTAAAAGATTTTGCTAGTCCATTATGTGGGCTAGGATTGACATCTAGCTATTTTTTTTTCTCACTGTTTATAATTTTAAAAAAAGTATCTCACAGCTGTCAAAAAATTTCCCCATTTTTTAAGTTTTATTACATACTTTCATCAAAGATCTGGAGAGCTCTTCAGCCAACTCATTTGAAATGGCTGCATACAAATTATCTGGATCAACTGTGTTTTCAAAACCTCTTTAACATAAAATGAACAGATTTCAAAATATGGAAAAGCATCAGTTGCATATCTGGCTGTCAGTTTTGAAGTCCCATCAGTTTATTTGTCCTCTGGTTTAAATTATGAATGGCAAAAATATAAGGAAATGTGCACCAGGAGGTGATTGGGAAGATACTAGTTAGGATCATTGCCAGTACAAAAGTAAAATATGGTTATACCTATTCTAAGGGAGCTGCTTATAAGCCTGCAGCTGGTCTGTCCCAAACACTTAATAACTCCATAGCATGGGATTATTAGAGATTCACTGCTGCCCACAGAGAAGCATGCAAGTGGAATAGCAAAGAAAAACTCTTTTCCTTCAATACTGCTCATCACAAAGAGTAGGGGTTACCAAGGTAAAGAATGCACTTGTCTTTGAAAATCACCAAACTCTCTGGAGCCCTTCAAACAGCAAGAGGTTCCCATGGGAAGAGATGAGCAATAAAACACAGAGAAGCAGTCAATCTGCTAATGAGACCACACATGAGCATGCCTCTCCTGGGGTTCTGCTAGAACATAAAGGAGGACATGACGCACAGTCAGTAGCGGCTCAATTAAATGTTGTGTTTTCCAGGTGGTGTTCAAATTACTTGCCCAGACAAATCCACTTGCCTAAAACTACTTAAAATGTTTCACTAAAAATAGAAAACTTGGAGAACTCTTGGCACTCTGTTTACCAATGCTTTCTTTAATGTTTCTTCAATTATCTCACCAAAATCTTGTGGAAATTCACATTAGCCCTCATGCCACCATGGGCTCCCTGAATATTGTCAGTGATTCAGATAGGGGTAGAACAACAACCACCTTTGACAGATGTGAAACTTCCAGGTGCTACCCTGACGGATGGGGTCTACAGCTCTGGGGTAGCTGTCTTACACAGTCTGAGGGAGGTTTTTAAACACTCCACACTGGGATCCCAAAAACCTGTCATGCTGAAATGGAAACTCTCAGAGCCAGCTACTTTGCTGAACAGCTTCACAGCCAAGGGGTGATACTAAATTGCATTAATTTATGAACTATGGGAGAAAACGTGCAAGTTTGAAGTTTTACCTAAGGTTTTGATGGTTTGTGTACCACCCAATCCAGGCTGCTAGTTTCAATCACTAAATAACATGGGGTAGACATGGTTGTGATGGTTTGGAATTCTGGTAGAGATAAAAGGTTGCTACAACATCTGCTTGTCTGCAGCCAGGAAACGCAAAGCAGAAGGTTCCTGTTTGATCTGCATGATGGCTTCATTTACAGTGACTTCTGTTGTTGCTGGTACATTACTTCCCTTCACAATCCTTTACACATAGTAATTGTTTATTACTGTGCTTGACAAAGGCATCACACTCTACAAATTCAACAACTTTTGTATAATAAACTCTTCTGTTAAATTCTTAGAACCTTCTCTGTCCACATTTCTAGCCAAAATCTTTGGGTTTACACCTACTTCAAATAACATCTCCATTACAGAAAGTGCTATGTCATTTTAATAAGATTGATGGTATTAATCCCAAGTGGATGGACAAATTCCAGTTTCTTTTACTAGGTTCTTCTAAATTAAAGTTCTCCCCAAAGGTCCAGTGGGTACCAATGCTTCCTGCCCTGCAGAGCTATTTCATGTCACTGAATGTGTCATTCATCCTTCTTGTTATACCTCCTCAGAGCTGGTTTTCCCAGGGCCCACTGGGATCTTTGCAAAGTGTGGTATTTGAAATGCTGGGGTTTCAGCCCCAAGCCCAAAATTAAGGTTGACATATGGTGATTCCCACAGCCCTTCACAAAGGGGGGGTGAGTTACCTCTAAGCTTCCTTCCAGGGTGGTGCCGGCCTTGCAGGGAGAGCCATTAGGTAAATGAGCCCCAGGTGTCCCACATGAAGTAAACAAGGGTCAGGTGTCCCACTTGGGGATAAAAGCTGGGACCCCTTGCAGGAAGAGGCAGTGTCTGTCTGTGAGGTGGATGCATTTTGCAGAGTTTCCTGTTGGGGAAGGACCTCCTGCCTCCCTGGGACTGGGCTCCAGTCAGGTCTGGCTTTTGTAAGTGCAGGCTGTGTAGAGATTCAGTATGTGGCTTCCTTGGTCTTATGTGTTTGGTTTGTTGACTGGGTTGTCTCCTGTCCCTTCTATGGGAAGCTGCATTTCACCGTTTATTCCACTTGTTGTTGGTTGTGTGG